AAACAAAAACGCAAAAACTTTTTTACTCCCCAGCCAAAATCGCGCCCGGAAAACACGAAAGGGAAATTTTTATATAAAATGTAGTAACAAGTATTTTTGGGGTTTCGTCTTTTTTTGCCCGAAAATTTTGGGGAAAAAATTATTTAAAAAAAAGGCTTAAAAAACTGTGTTTTAATTTTTTTTTATTTTTTAAATTTTTCTTTTTGCGTTTTATTTAAAAAATGCGGAAAAAAGTTTCCCGTAAAGGCACACTGCCCCAAAATCACCCTTCCCATTTTTCCCGGAACGCAAATTTTTTAACCCATATTTTTAACTTTTTAAAGGGCCCCCTTTTTTTTTTTTTTTATTTTTTAACAAATTTTTTTAAAAACGAACTACCCGATTTTTTTTGGCCCCCAGTTTTTCCGGGGTGCAAAAATGCGCAGCGTTTTTAATTTTGGGGAAACCCAACATAATGGATAGCTTCTTTTCATAAACCCGTTTTGGCCCTTTAATAAAGGGAGACCCGAAAAAAATTGGCGGAAATTTGTTTAAAACGGGTGGAACATGGTAAAAAAAATTTCTGCAGAGAAAACAGGGTTTAAACCCTATTTTTTAAAAAAACCAAAAATTTAAATTTTTGCAAAAAAATGGGGGTTTAGAATATTTTTTAAAAGTAATTTTTAAGGGAAAAGGGAACCTTTTAAAGGGGCCCCCTCATTTTCGGTCTAGATTTGGGTTTTTATTGGTGTGCTTTTAAAAATTTTGGAAGGAAAATTTTGAAAATTTTTGCGGGGGAAAAAATAAAATTTCCCCGACCTTTTTTGGCCAACAACCTGCTGTTTAAATAGATGAACATATTAACCCCTGATTAAAAAAAATTTTTACTAAAATTGGGCAGAAACCCGGGGTACGTTTTATTTTTAAAATATACGTACCTGACAAAAAATCAATTATGCCCGGTTTAAAAATTTTGTCCCTTTTTTTTTCACAATACTTTAATAAAAAAAATATGTTTGGTTTTTTCCCAAAAAATTATCGTACCTGGAAAAAACGAACCATTTTTTTTTAAGGGGCTCTTTTCGGGGGAAAGGTTTGAAAATTATTTTAATCAATTTTTTTATTAAAATTTTAAACAAATAGAAAAGATAAACTTCATTCTTTAACATGTTAAAAAACCCGGGTTTTCCTAAACAAAATTTTGCCCCCAATTTTTGTGGATCCCCTTTCCCAAAAACAGACTAGAAAATTTTTCCACACCCCGATTTTACCCCCTTTTTGGGAAACCCGTTAACCCAGTAAAAACAAAGGTAATAAATAAAAACATTTTAAGATTTTCCCCTGTAAATTTTTTAAAGAAATTTTTTTTTTGCCAAGGGCTCGAAATATTAACCCCTTAAATTTAAAATTTTTCATCAAAAAAAATTTTCCCTCCCGTCCCCCCATCAAAACTTAAAATTTTTTTAGGTGGGCATGTGCAGAAAGGGGCGCACAAACCGACCACGACAGCAACCCTCGGCTGGGAAAACCGGGGTTGGCCGGGATACCGTTAATATACGTACCTGGTTACCCCGGGAATTTTCCCGCCTTTTTATATTAAAATTTAATTGAAAATGACCCCCGCCCAAAAATTTACCCCCCGAAAAGGGGAATTGACAAAAAAAAAATTTTCATTAAATTAGGTAAAGGAATTCTTTGGTTTTTCTTTTTTTGGGTTTTTTTTTTGGGCCTTTTTTGTGTCGCCTTCCCCCGGAAGTATTTGGCGACATTTTAGGGTTTACTACCTTTCCGGTCGCCCTTGGGTTTTGTCCGTCTTTCCTTCAAAAAAAACTTGTCCCAGCCCCTACTCCCAAAAACTTTCCCAGGAAACAACCCGGGCCTTTTTAAAACCAAGTCAGTTGGGGCAAATTTGCCCGCATTTTCTGGTTTTCTAATTGTTTTTGCCCAGATTTTTGGGCCCCTTTTTAATTTTTTTTTTAAATTTAAATTTTGCCCGGACTACTTCTCTTATACCATTTAATTTTGGCAAATTTCAAAATAAATTTCCCTGGGGATTGATCTGTAGTTTAATTTCCTTGCCCCCCTTTATTCCCAAGCGGGGTTTTCCGGGTTTTAATGATTTTTGGGGCCGGTTAGGGCCCTTTGATAAAAAAGGTTTCTTTTTCTGTGGTTGCCAAAAAACCAAAAGTTCCTGCCCCGGGGACATTTTCCCCATAAAAATTTACTGGGTTTTTGGCCAACCATTTTCAAATTTTACGGGGAAATAAATCATTTCCCCAAATTTTTCCCTAGCTTTTGCATTATTGTTCATTTTTTCCGGTTCAATATTTTTGTCAAAAAGTTTTTAGGGGGCCCCTTTTAAATTTTTTTAATTTTTTAAAAGTTTGTCCAAAACTACCTTTTTTTTAACCCCCTTTTTTCCCAATTTCAATGAAACTTTTAACGGAAATTAAAACTGTAGCCCCCGGGCCCTTTTGGGGCCGCATTTTGGGCCAAGGGGTTTTTTTCCTTTAAATTTTTTGGGGCCCCGGGGTTAGGGCCCCCTTGAAAAAAAAAGGTTTTTTTTCTATGTTTTTGAAAAGATACGAAAAAAACTTGTCCAAACTACTCCTCATAAAAACTAACTGGGTGAATTTTATAAAAAACTTTACGGGAATGTTTCCATTTACCAAGTCTAGTTTTTGCACTGTCTGCCTTTTTCTGTCCCCCAAAAAAATTGGCCCCAACATGAAAGGGGCACATAAAGGAAGGGGGGACACTTTGTGTTTAAACCTGACCCCCCTTGGGTTTTTAAATACACATGTAGTCTATAGAGATTTAAAAAATGGTGTAGAAAGGAAAATGGGGAAAGCCCGGGTGAAAAGGTTTAAAACCGAATTTTCCCGGGGTATAAAATTTTGCTACGGGACGGTTTTGTGAGTGGTTTTTTTTAAATGTACCTTGGTTTAATATTATATATTTAAAGTCAAGTAAATTTTGACCCCTATTCTTCCTTTAAAAAACATCTTTTAGTCTATTTTTAAAGGTAGAAATTGTTCTACTTTTTTTGCCTACTGGGGGGGGTTTTTAGCAATGAATGCCCCCGGGTTTGCTGATAGATTAGGGAATAAACGGGAAAGGGGCCAAAGAGACTAGGGGTTTGGTTTTCCATTTGGAAGCTTTTAAAAAAACCTTGAAAAAGTGATAAAAGTTTTTTTTTAATTATCTGGAGTCGGGAAAATTTGTTTTCACAATGCCCCAGGAAATTATTCCCGCCTTGCTGATGAGCCCTCGAAACGGGAGATTTCCCCATCCTTCCCCTTAATTTACATTTTTCCAAATAGTATTTTTTTTAAGGGGAAAATTTTTGTTTTGTTTTTGAACATTAATTTGAAAAAAAATTACGAGGGAGAAAAGGGGTTTTTTTTAAATAAAGTGGCCCTATTTTTTTCCCCCGGTTGTCCCTGTGCCGGGGTTTACCCCTTTCTTAGTATTTTTTTAAAAATTTTTTACCCAAACTTTTGGTTTTTGTTAAATTACATATGTCTGGGTTTGGATGGGGGAATTTGTCAGTGTGAAATTATGAATTAAATAAAAAAAGGGGTTTCTTATAAAGCGTTTAAAATTCACATTTGGAATTTTTATTTCTTCAAACAACCCTAAAATAAATGCTGTTTAATTGATTGGGCAAAATTGGATTTTTTTCCCTACTTTTTTCAGCCGTCCTTTTTTGGTTGGGGGGTCACGTGAAATGTTCGTAAAATGTTTTTAAAAAAACTAAAACCCGGGTTGTTTTTAAAAAAAATTTTGTTTTAAAAACCCCCTATAAAGTTTTTTCTTGTTCAATAAAAAAAGGGGGTGTGTTAAAACCCTTGGGGGGTTTCCCAAAAACCTTTTTTGCATTTAAAGTTTTAAATTTAAAATTTCATTATTTTTGATCTCTTGTTTAAAAATCAAATTTTATTTTAGATAAATTTTTAAATTTTTTTAATGGGAACAAAAAATTAAGGATTTGGGGTTTAAAATTTTTTTTTTGCCCAATGGGATTGCGTTTTCCAATGAATCGTAATTTTCTTTTTTATTTTGGGGGAATTGGCAAATTTTTTAAAAAATTTTTTAAAAACCACTAAGCTCTTTAAAAATTTTTTTAGTATGATTTATAAAAATTAAATTTTCGGCAGCGGTTGGTGAAAAGGGTTTTGGGGCCATGGACTGGGGGGCCCAAGTTAGTTTTTGGGGGGGTTTTTGCCCCGGATTCTTTAGACCTTCCCAAATTTGGGCCCGTTTTTTTATTTTTCTAAATTTAGGGAAAATTTTGTAAATTTTTAAATGTTTTAAAGAAAAAAACAAAAGGAAAAATTTCTCTACGGGTTCTACTGTGTATTTTTTTTTAAACAAAACTTTCTTTCAGCCATGAAGGTTCTCTTCTAAATTGGGTTTTTTTGGGGGCCTTTTGGGATCAAAATGGGAAAGTTCGGAAACAGTAGTTTTTTTAAATTTTCAAGTTCTTTTTGGGAAAAAGGATCCCAAAAAACCACTATTAACAAGATTCAAAAATTTTGGGATTTCCCCGTAACTTTTTGTTTAAAGTATTTTTTATGGGGGGAACAAGCAAAATCTTTCTATATTTTTTTATGCAGCGGCAAGGCTGAGTGGTTCATATGTTAAGACTATAGATATAGGATGTTTAGCTGTGTGGGCAAGATGTTTTTGCTTCAGGGACTTTACACTCATTGCTCAGTACTGGTTGGTTCCAGGAACAGATTAAAAGAGTGTTTCATTAAGCTTAAAATAATAGCTTCTTACACAATTAAACTAAAATAAACTCTGTGTAAACAAATTTTTTAAAAAAAATTTCTGATGTCTGATATTAATGTATTTTAATAGTTGTAGAATTAGGTGCAGTTTATTTTATAAATTAGTTGAAATTATGGAGTTATTACAAAAATGCATGAAGTCAAGTTCAGAGTGAACATTCATTTCAGTACATTATTAATACGTTTTGAAAACTTTAATGTTATTCCGGGGGTATTTTGCAGCTCGACCATCTAAAAGTGGCAGATCATTGTCTGGAAACTGAATGTCCACTGGTGGTCGACCTTCAATAGGACCAGGGGGCGGCCCATCAATTTCAAACAGTCGACCATCTATGTCTGGTAGTAGAAAGTCTATGATACAGATTCCTAGGTTTGGTCAAGCACAAAAAAGCAGGTAGGTTGAATGAAGTCTATTCATGAATTTGAATTAAAATTTTAGTTTCCTAAACAAATGTCTTTAACATTGTCATAATGATAAATTAGAAAATATTGCATGTGAATCAACCTTTTTAAATCTTTATTCTTACAGCCAAGTCCATTGACAAAGAAAGTCCAGAAAACTTTATCTTCATTACTATTTTGTTAATATGTTGTTTAGAGTTATGCCCCTTTTTCACATGGAAAATATTATAACTAATTATATAAATACCAATATCTTGAACATTCAAAATCACAAACATTGAATGTTATTTATCTTGTTGAGAAATTAAGTGCATAACAACCTGAACCATAATATCATAACACTCTTGAATTTATTTTTCATTGTTGCCTTTAAGCAACAGTGAAGCATTGGTATTTGCAATATTTGTATCCAGTGCTCTTGCATCATGTTTAATATTTGTCATGTTAGGTTGTCTAGAGGAAGTGGTATAGGAATGAGAAGTAATGGTGTCCCAAAAGATCCAAGACCAGTGTCAGACAAGTCTTATCAACAGAAATCTATAAAGATAGTATTAGAGGTTAGTTTTAATAAAATATAGTAATATATCATACTTGGGCAATATTTCTCTAATTCTCAAACTTGATATAAAGAATTTGATGAAATAAAGGACACTCAAAGCCAAACAAAGGAATGCTCATTAAAAATAAAAAACCTACACTGTGTTGTTTAAAATTTTGCACTTTATGTCCAAAAAGTGTATTTATCTTTGTTAGCATGTTCCTATATTTGTGTCATCATCCTACTTGAAATGAAAAGTGTTGCTGAATAAAATAAGATTTGCGTTTGGGTATTTATTTATTTTATGTTAATAAATAAGGGTCTGTTTGAGATATTTAACGTAAACTAATCTCATGAAAAAAACCAGTTTACAGTTGCTGTCGTTTAAGGGTGCATTTACGTTTATATTGATTTAATTGGGCGGAAAATATAAAATCCCCCTTTTTGGCTGGTCCTTCCAGCAAAACATAAACTTCAGAAAATAATACAAGGTGTAATATGCAATGGTTCTGTAACAATGATGAAAGTCTGTTGGATTACAGTAAGCCTGGACAAAAAAGAGTCGATAGATGTTTTTAAAAATATTTATTTTCTTGATTATTATATGAATTTGATTACAGTTGACTTCTTAAAAAACAGAAATTTTAACGCTTGTCTTCAGGGCCCAAAAAATCTTCTTTGTACGAGGCCGAATAAGGCTGCTTCCCCAACCAAACCCTAGAGCTTTTTTTTTCCCCAGTTTGTCTTTCAAACTTTTCCCAATCTTTTGAAATTTCCATTTATAATTTAGATCAAAATTAAATTATGGTGTTGTTTTAAGGTTTTTTACTGCCTATTAGTATTTCCAGTGCTTTTGCTTTTCTCTTTTTGAAAGAAACTTGTTAAAAGTTTGTGTTAATTTTGAGACTCCTTTTTCCAAAGTATGCCAAAAATCACGCATATTTCCCCAAGAAAAAGGCTGGGCCCCTTCCCCCAAATGGGTGTTTTGGCCCTTGTCTTTCATGAAAAATAAAAAAGTGTTTAAAGTTTTTTTTCAAAATTGCTTAAAATATATTTCTAAGTAAAAAAAAGTTTATTTAAAGATATGGTTTTTCCAGAAATAATAACCAGCAAAAAAAAATTTTGATGCGTAAAAATTTAAAAAGGTGATTATTTTATTAAAAAATTTAAAATATTTTGTTTGCATTTTAGTTTAAAACTGTAAAAAATCTAAAACCCAAAGTCGCAATTTTTTTGAAATTTTTTTTGTTTTAAATGTCCTGAAAAGGGTGCTTTTTCCCCGTCTTGCGATTATTAATTGTTAGTCTTTCAAAAGAGTTTTGTGTTAAGGGGGAAAAAGCTTAACTTTTATTTTTTTCTGCTTCGTTTTTAACTGAGCGGGATATCCCCAAATTTTCATTAAAAAAATTTCAGTCCCCAAATCAAAAAATTTCTTAAAAAATTGAGGTGAAAAATTTTTCTTTTTTTCCCTTTTTTTCTTGTATCATGTACTATTAAAAATGATGTAAGTTTGTATTATGCATCGAAAAAAGCTGAATTTATTTTCCTTCATTTACTTCATTATTAAAAAAAATCTAAATGATTTAAAACCAAAATTTATCAAAAAATGTTTCGCTTTAAAAACGTTGTTATTTTTAAATTTCCTAAGTAATTTTTATTTTCCCTTGTTGAATTTTTTTTATTAAATTTTCTAAATTGTATTAAAAAGATCTTCTTTCCTTTTTTAAAAGAAAAAAATTCATTGTACGGTAAAGTTTATTTTTTTTTAATTTCCTATTTGTGTAAAGTTTTATATAAAAAATTTAATTTATGGGTTTTTATGCGGGGTTATGTTATGTTCCCGGTTTTTTACGTTTTTCATGGATTCATTGCCCAGTACAAACTCCACCCAAAATAGAAAAGGGTTCCGCGAAATTTTTAAGTAACGGCTATCTTTTATATTCGAATCTATGTTTTTATTTGGGGTCTTACTGGCCTCAAATTTGTACCCTTTCCCCTTTTCATTGAAATTATTTGTAGGTTGTTTTATTTTATCTTTTTGTGATATTTCTGGTGTCTAGTACAAATTAGTTCGATTCATGAGGATAATTTAGGCGATCTGCCATGGTGCATTTACTTGAAGGCTTGGTGTTTACAACGGATATTATTAGACTTTTGTTCATTGTTGCATTCGCACTTAACACTTCTTCAGTAGTTCTATTTTGAGAGGAACACATAGGCTTTAGAGGTAGAAAAATAGTATCTCTGTTTTACGTTTCACAGTTTTAAGATGTTTAATGTATGTGGTAAAAAAGTGAATGTTGATTAGAATATATGTTATTTGCCATGTTATGTGCAATGTGTCAGATGATGGGAGATTGTTTGCTCTGGAAAAACATAGGGGGTAACTACCAGTATCTAGTTTTTTGTTGTCCGTTCTTTGTTATACATGTCTTTTTAAGATGATTTCTTTATTGAGGATAATGTTCCAAATTGATTTGATTTTCTTTGTTAGCAACTAATTGTGTGATTTGAAGAAAGAAGAATGTGTCCTGTATGTTGTTGTTTTTAATTATGAAAAATTGTGTTAAGAACGAAGAAAAAACATGGTATCAAACATAGAAACTGTTGTTTCAGCAATATTCAAGTTTATATTAGATGATATATTTTTTGTATGGATTATTGGCATTTTGGTTTACGTATGGATGAGCTTATTAGGGGAGCATATGGAGATATGTGTTTCACGATGATTGATGGTTTTGGATAGTGACTATGTCAGAGGCTCAGTAACAGCTTTCTCTTGTCGGTTTTCTGTGTCACTTGACATTTGGTTTGTTCACACAAATGAGGTCGCTGAGCAATTTAAAAAAATCTAAATTTTACTTTATTTTATGGCATATATATGACAGTTCATTTTATTTTTTTATTAAATAGACAGTATGATTATTAAAATTGATTTATTCAGTTCCATTGTAGTGTATATAGTTTTAATGTAAGATTGAATACCAGTTCTTACCATGTTTCATTTGTTATAGTTTTTACTGCTTGAATTTAAATAAGTTAATTTTGTACAGCTGTTACAATTTTATGGTAATGTAAAATCATAAATCTTGGGTTGAAATCCACACTTGTTCTGTTTATCTTTTATGATGGCAAGTCTGTACCTTTTAGGATTTGCGCCTTTCTTACTGTCAACATGGAATAGTAAGTCGCTTTTTGTTTTTTGTAAGAAATTTCTACATTATCTTTTTTAAACTATTAGTGAGATTATTTACACATGATGTTTTGTGTTTAATTAAAGAGCAATTTATTTGATTTTTGTGTGTCTTATAAGAATGGATTATTTAAAATGGTATTTGTGTTTATTAAGAGCATTTATGTTGATTTTTTTCAGGTATTTAACAGTATGTATTGTAGTAATACATCTTTCATGTTATTTTCAGATATTTTACCAGTATGATGTAAGTAATCCTCGTTCATGTGGATATTTTAGTATTTTTACAGTATGTATGTAGTATTCTCGTTCATGTGATATTTTTCAGATATTAACGGTATGTATGTAGTATTACCATGTTTCATTGTGTATTTTTCAGATATTTTTACCCGTATGTATGTGTATATCACTGTTCATGTGAGATTTTCGATATTTACAGTATGTATTGTAGTACTATCATCGTTCATTTGACTATTTTGATATTGTTCAGTATGTGTGTACATACCACTCGTTTCTTGTATTTATCAGTATTTTACCAGATGGTATGTAGTATACATCGTTCATGTGATATTTTCGATTTTACCGTATGTATTGTAGAATAACCGTTCATGTGTTTTTCGATTTGACCAGTTGTTGTAGTTACATCCACTCGTTTGGAGGGCATGTGTATTTGGAGGACATTCTCTCGAACTCATAGTAGTGACTTTTAGTATTTTCTGTATGGGTTAATGTTTAATTTTATAAACAGCAAAACTTTATGTTTACATGTTTTCATTGCCAGTAGTCTTTTATGGTTTGAGCCATAAAGTCTGATGCTAGTATTTCCTTTGTGTAAATTTATCCTTTATATATGTCAGAAGAATTTTAGGATTTTTTAATCTGTATATGTTCTACAAATTTAATGCGTAGAGACTGCATAGAGTCAGAATTTCCATAAGTTTTGATGTGATACTTGAAGCGTAGGAGCGACTATATGACGTCATACCAGTTAAAGGGGAAGTCGCCAGTGACTTTACAGTGTTGGTGAACTTGAAAACCACCAGACAACAAAAACCATTTAGTGTAGTTATTGTTGCATGTGAATTGTATGCTATTAATTTAAGATAATTTGGTCTTTGTTTTCAGGACACACGGTTTGGGGAGGTGGCATTGATGGTTAATAGAGAAAACATGCCTAGAATCACAAGTTTAGAACTCCTCGGAAGGTCTGTAAGTTGTTTTTATAGTACAATATTTTAGTAGGTGATTTTCATTAAATGAAATATTTCTCACCAAAATAATGTCACTATCTACTTTATTTGACTTTGGTTAGCTAAAATCCGATTTCAACGTCAAGTTTTATGTAATGTTATGAAACATGAGCTTTTGAGGACTTTGATGTCACATCTTGCTGCAATGTTTAATGTTCACAAAAGTTGCATCATAATTGATATAAATAATTAATTGGTAAGGGCTCTTTAGGATTGGTTTGATCAACTTAAGAAATATTAGTGAATAGTAAAAGAGAACACATGTCAACAAGATTTCTTTGTTATTTTGGACCTTTTATGAAGGCAGTCCATCAGGATTACAATTGTTAACTCGTGATGAAAGACTGTCGTTCTCATGGTAGACACATAAAGACAACCTTCACAACAAGCTGACGAGGTCGAGGATTTGTGCTAACTGGGTATGTACACTTTAAACATAAATTTCAGTCAGCATTCATTTTAATATACAGTTCGACAGTACAGATTTTTGTAAGTGTTACTCAAGGAATGTGGGAAAATTATCTTTGGCAAGGAAGAATGATATGAGAAATGTTGTTTTAAACATATTATTTTTTCATGTAGCACATGATTACAGTATTGTTCTTGTAAAAGTGTTGATTTTTTTTCATTATCTTTTCTTTTCTTTTTCTCTTTATGGTGAAGTGTATAACAAGGTCTAGTGTTGTTCAGGGCATTTTAGATGACAGTTGTTATATTATCAATAATACATGATTGCCTTTTAATACTGTCTTAAGCTTATTAGGATGTATTCCAATAGTGTTGAAGTAGCTTGCTTTCATTTTGTATTTCTACCAGTGCTTGGAGATTATTGATAATAATATACTTTCTTTTACCAGTGTAGTCTGGATGCGGTATTGAATTATATTGCTATTTAGTTTTAGGCAAAACTGCAGTGATAAAAATCTAAGAAGCATTTCTTACTCTGTTGTGTGTCTTGAGTTGAAATTGTTGGTTTTCCAATTTTAGTTAATCCAAATTGTTTGTAAAAGTAGAAATATTAGATCTTGAATTAAGTGTTGTTTCATATGAATTTCTGCAGAAATTACTTTAAGTTTGTCTAAGTATACTACAAATAGTTCTTGAACTAAAATGTGCATGAGAGAACTGGAAGTAGAGAAAGTGCCAGTATTGATGCAGTATGTGCGAGAACCAGAGTTTATCAGCGAAGTGCTGGAATTTAACTGGACGACATATGTTATAAGCGCAGACAGCGGAACTTGAGAAGAAATATAAGCTGTATGAAGATATCTGGAGAAGAGGAGATTGGACTTCAAAGAGTTAACAGGTGATTCTTTATATTTGTTTGCATTTTAATTTGATTTGTTTAGATTGTTTTGCTTTAATTTTGTGATTATCTTGTGCTTTATTTCTGAATTATTGTTGTGCTTAATTTGTAAAATATTGTTTGTGCTTATTTCTTGAAAAATTATTTGGAAAATTAGTTTTTCTGTGTCATTTCGTATTTCTGGGCACACTATTACTGTGCAATTTCTCTATTTGGATGGGTTGTGATAGTAGAAATGTATAATTGTATAATTTGGGAGTCTTAGCTTGTCTGCAGCAGTCATGCGGATTACATGACGACTAGTTCTTATAGGTCTCTGTGGTACCCACATTAGTCAGAATAAAGATATGTTCTAGAGAATGAATCAGCACAGCCTGTCTGTCTAATTGTCTAGTAGAGCAATGTGTTGGCATTAAAGTGAAAGTTGTTGTGTTGGGCATTGTCTATATATCTTCAAGCGGATATTCTGTGTGTCGAAAAGTTCGAAATTAAAAATTAAAGCATTTCGCGAGAAACATGGATGCACAATTGTTAAAGGGTGATTATAAGTTTTGTAGTTGAGGAAATATTTACGGATTTTATAATGGCGACTTTCGCCATATTTCCATGCTATATCCATATAAGCCTCCTCATACCTTTGAAACTTCCTAAGCAACTTCCTTTGTCTATTGCTTTTTAGTAAATAGAGGTATCGAACCAGAGCTATCTGATTTGTATAAAGAGGGGTGTAGCTCCCTGTGTTACGATTGCGGATGTGTTTTGATTGTTCTTTTATTTTGCATGTCAATAAAACGTTGCCTGTTGTACAATGAACCCGGGGAAAAATAACCAATGACGGACTTGAAGATTGATATTTCTGTCGTTGCCTTTTTATCCATCACTAGTAAAACCCCAGTAAAATGAGCAATCAATGGGATGCTATAGAGTAGGTGGTTAAATAATACTGCACTTTCATTACCATGTGAGTTCTGTTACGATTTAACTCTGACACAATGTATCAAGAATGGTCCCCAACTATGATACAATTACTATTATATGACATTGTTGTAATTTGCTCTGATATCATTGATTGAAAAATTAATTAAATAGTAAAAGATTTAATATTTATAGCTTTTGTGTACTTTCAGATCCATCAAGAGTGTCAAGCATTTAATTGGCTGTTCAAGTTTGAAGCTAGTATACCTTTACAGCGCTGAAACTCATCTGGTAGTATTGAATGATAATGAAGAAACTTGCCTAGTACAGATGCACTTGTCCAACTTCACGCTTATTAGGTTTCAATATTATATTACTTTGTGCATTTTCAATGAAAGTGAGCTTTTTGCTTTAATGCTTATTACGAGATGATGAAAATGACTGTGTTAAAGTACAGAATAGGTTTTATTTAAATATGGAAAGTGTTTTAGGTGTCTATTTTTTATAAGTTTTCTAAACATCAAATGACTTTTGCACGATTATGATATTATTTTGATATTCTTACTGTCATTTTTCGTCATTATCGCAGAACGTGATTGTCCACTATCATTTGGTGCTCATTTACTCGTTGCACTTAGAAATCATGTGAGATTAGTAGTGTTCCTTCGTAGAAATTGTAAATCACTGGTCAGTAGTCAGGGAAGCATTTAAGGGACTTCAGATGTATCAAATTGTTGTTGAATTCATGTAAAGTGATAAACATCTAATCTGCTTGTGTAGTGCATTTGACTAAACATGTGACGCGGAACATTCAATAGATACCAGCTGTTTATAAGAGTTGATATTGCGGTTTACGTACAGTTTTGATATATTAATTTATTTGGCAAACAAATAGTTCATACATTGTAGGGTCATATAAGATATGATCAAGGACTTAGTAAACAGACAATTTTTTTTCTTGTAGTTGTCAATGTTTTGTAAGATACTCAGGTTATGGATTTATGTTTTCTTTTAGTTCCATAACACTGCCAATGTGATCGAAAGATAAAGTAAGGAGCATTTAGAACAGGTAACATTTACCAACAAGGTTTGAAATAGTTGGTTAGGGTTTCAAAATTATGACCATTGATCTTATCAGAGGATGTTAAAATTCCTTAGTAATAAGATACTCACATGTTAACATACTTAAAAGGTGTATGAAATGTGGTTTTACCCAGGTACATGATTGTGTCTGAAGTAAAGCACAGAGAGGCATCCAAGGTGTGCAACAGTGTAAGCTTAGCTTGGGGACAAGTTTCAATATATGTTATGGTGTGATGTGACAATGTGAAAAACATGCACAAAAGAAACAGATAAGGGGATAAATCTGAATGAGACGGCTATTGCAACATTAGTTTGATTGCTGTTAGGAATAAGTAACTTGTCAGTGCCGCCTGCATAAAGTACATCAATGTAATTTGACTTGTTTTTTTTTACCATTTCCTGCTATATTTTAGCTTAACAGCATTTAAACTTTTTATTATAATAACGAAAATTTCTATATTCATAGCATGTCAAGTCCATTATATGAATGGAGGTGTGTTAGGTTAAGTAAAAGCATTTTAATGTAAATATAGGTAAATCCGTATTTGTTATTTTCTCACTATATTGTTATACATGATGTAAAATGTATTACAGGCATCAGAGTATGTGAGTGATTTACAGAATGAGGTTGGTTTATTAGAGAGTAAATATAAGAGAGCAGAGGACGAGGTGGAGGCTAAGAAACAGGTGTTGTATTTGACAAGTAACATACATGTCTCATCATTATGCCATCAGTAAAACATAATCATTTCATCTTGGTGTAGTTACTTTAACATTTGCTTTAGCGGATTAAATCAAGATTATTGTCAAAAGGCTAAAGACTACAAATTTTCCTAGGCCAGATTTGATTGGCCAGAAACAAGGGCAGAATTTACACAGACCAACTAAAATCCTGAGATTTGAGACAAAGCTCAAAAAAAGTTTTGCACGTTTTCATAACTTCAAGATTTTTAGAAAGATGTTAAAAGTTAATGCAGTTTGTATTGTAAGATAAAGTTGTCTTTATCAACATTCTAACTACGTATTCTGTTACTATACAACATGTGTTTGCCGGGTCTTCACATTAATGATATATAATCAGCTGTTATTCATTTTTATGTACAGATGTATTTCATGATATATAATCAACTGTTATTCATTTGTATGTACAGATGTATTTGAAGGAGATACAGAGAATGCAGGAGTGTGTAGAAGAGCTACAGAATGAGATGGTACATTTAGAAAGTGTCATGTTCCTATCCCAACAAGATGCTTCCACTGAGAAGAAAAAACTTGACTCTTGGTTTGTTCTAACAAGTCTTATATTTGCATTATTTAATTGGAAATTTAATAAATTAATTTAATGATTGATCAGTTCCTTAAATTTTAACATAATTTCAAAAGTAAGAAGAAAATGGAGAAGTACAACATGAACACCAGAGCTGGTTTAGGTTATTTATTTCCTACCAGTTTCAGTTCTGTTGAACCTTCATCATAATTTTCTTAAATTTCTTATGTAAAAGCCTCTGATGTAAACTTTCTTTACTGGTGCAGCTATAGTTAGTCATACATGATACTGAATGAGTGTAAGTTCAATACTGAATTTATTATATTATGCAAGCCACTGGCAAGCATAATATTATTATGTTCAACAAGTTCAATAAATTCAGTGATGAACTTGCTCAAATTTAATATTCTATCTATCACATACTCAAAATAAAGACCTTTGAAAGTGAAAAAGTGTCATTTTTCCTTGATGCGCCGATAGTATAATGCTAACATTTAGCACGTCTTTACACTATGTTTGTATAACGCTAATGACGTCACGTCAAAATATATGAATGATCGTGCAATACCATATTTACAGAGTTGCAAAATAGGCACGAGTGTGTAATTAAAATGTATACTGTTTCATTTCAGAATTTTATCAAATTTTTAAATTGACTTATTTCACAAATACATGTATCCTATTGGGATCCTACATATTACCGGACAAAATATGATGTTTTTTCGCTGTAACTTTTATTCAAAACAATTGCGGCGGTTAAATAAAAAAGAATGGCATTTTATCCAAATAATTTTGGGTTCTTAATACAAGTAAACATTACTTTAACAAACATGAAATTAAATTTTTGACCGTAGAAATGTGTCTTTAAAGTTGGGCATTATAAGAGAGAAAAAATCGTGTAAGCAGCTCAATTTACTGGACATTGCATTTCAAATTTTTTTAAGTCCTGAATTGAAATTAATCTTTAAAAAATCAGCAAGGAAACTACAACTATTGAAAGGCAAGGTTAAGATATTGAAAAGAAAACAGTATGTCACTAAAACAAGACACTGCAGCCATGCTTGTTACGAAGAGGCCAATTTATGGAGTGTAATTGAAATTAACACTATTAACTCAATTAACGTATTGATTCTTAATAAATCTTAAACATATAAAACATTTTGATATTTAAATGGAATTCTGTTTTTTTCATTCATTTTCCTTTTGGTTATCATGTAGCATGTTACAAAAGCTATAAAATCTATTGTATTTACATTTCATGTAGAGATTCTTCCCATGGGCGTAACCCGTTTCCTTATATGTTTTTAATGTGCGTTTCTTCGTTAAAGACAACAATGAGATACTTTTAGGACTAAATTATAAATTACTTATTTATCATTAAAATATGTTACGATTGTCTCCTGAGATAATGTGGAGAAGAATTGAAAGTAATACCTATCTAAAATAACCCATTAAGGGCCTCTTTATTCCGACATGCACAGAACAGATTATTCCCCCGCATGATCAGGTCATGGAAGAACTAGTAAACAAAAGAGCATGGTAGTAAATAAAGAACCGAATCAACCATATTTACCTGAGAGTGGTTTTGTTGTTATTTACTTTGAAATAGAAAGTGTGTGTACGATTCAGACCGGATGATTTTTTAATCAAAGCAAAAATAAATGCACTATTCAGCAGTAATAGCTTTTGTCCAGTAAACTGATTGTCCGGTAAACATGTAGGATCCCAGTACTGTAATTTTGAACAGAATATTACCTCCATATTATCCTTAAGGATGGTCTTGTAAACTTTCAGGTGAACTTTCAAAATACAAATGTGTTGGGTTTTTTTTATAAATAAAAGTTGTCTCCCTTTAGTCATTTATTTTATATAAATTAGGTTACTTTTTTGGTATTACTAAAAAACAAACTCATACACTCAATGTATACGATAGTGAATAAGCTTAATTATCATCCTACAAAGAAAACTATGGCGGCATCGTGGAGTTATTTACTCGTCTGACTAATAACCTGAGGATCTCTAGTTACTTCCTTAAAACCCTGTCCGGTTACAAGCCATTGTTCCCTTAAGCAAGAAACTTGACACTCATTGCTCAGTACTGATTGGTTCTAGGAAAAGATTTGAGAGTGTATCTGTAAGCTTAGTGGTAGTCATAGCTTCCTACACACTCAAACTAAAATAAATTGTGTATAAACCTAAAGAAAACTGTTTTTACTGCAATTTACAAATATTTATCTTTATATGAAAATATTGTTCCTGTTCATCTTAAAATAAATACATCATGTCTTTGTTCACACAAAATGACCATGAATGTTATATTGGATGTTTCTTTGCATTGCTGGGTTTTAAGTCATACCAACACTTTAAACACATGTTGAAAGGTCGTACAGGAATTTCCTAGCTTTACTGATGCAGGAAGACCGCATACGACCCTCCGTGCATTATGTCTTGTACGACCCTCATTATGTCAGACACATGGAACATCTTTATAGAAGCACCTTGTGTAAGCTGGGCAGATAGCATATTCACTGTGTAACCTGGGCAGATAGCATATTCACTGGATAGATTCAGGTCTGTAGTGATGAGGGGCATGCAGTTCAAAATATGTGACCTTTATCACTGGGCCATGGGAGCCCAGTTTAAATGCGTATTTTCTAAGCATGCTTTTTAACTAGGCACCTTTCACATAGGAAACATTTTCGAATGAATCTGTAACAATAATTAAAACATCATTTCTATAAAGAATCAGTAAGCTAGTTGAATCTTTGACTATAGTCTCTAGAATTAATGAAAACAAAATATTTATGGACTTGGATTTGTACATTAATTGGTGTATAATTGTTCACACATAGGTCATTACAAGAAAGAGAGAAGGCAAGGAGAAAATTGGAACAGCATAAAAATTTCTTACAGGAAGCTCTTCAAACCTTTATGGAACATATGGAGAACATGCAGGTAGAATTTGTATTCAATATAATCATTGTTGTAAATGGAACTTTTATCCTGGTAATCTACTTCACTCCTACTGAAGTAACACTTTTTCCTTACATTAATAAACTGCTTTGGAAAGTTACTATTATTTTTAAGTCACATAATGTTTCTTTTCGACCGGGAAATAATGAAATAAAGGGCAAGATTTTTGATTTGTAGAAATTCAAGTCATGTATAATTCTTCTAAATAGACTGCAGTTATCTTTATGAAGTTATGGAATCGTAATTCAAAGTATAAGAAATGTAACAGATATCATCATAATTGATTTGTCTGCCTGTCTGATCCATTAGCTAAGTAGGGAGAGCATTGGATTTATAATCCAGGTTCCAAGGTTATAAACAATTACCCTATGCTCTTCAGATCTCAGATTGGTCAAAAACCAATAGAATTTATATTGACCAATGAAAATCCTGAGATTCGAGACCGATCTCAGAAAAAAGTTTTATTATCTCCAGACCAGGGGAGAGGCGAAATTACTCAGTGTCAAATGATCACAGACAAAAAGTTTTATATCCATTTTTCACTCTTGAAATTTTAGGCAAAGTTAGCAGAAGCCCACGAAGATTCTGAAGCCTTGAAAGAGAAAGTTAGACAGGAGGCTAATGCAAAGGGCATTGAGTGACTGAAGACAGTGTGAGATGTGGAACTGTTTATGTCCACATATCCAGAATAACTCGCCATGAACTGTGTAATAGATCAACTCGAGTGCTGTCAAAACTGTTGAAACCTGTATCACTCTTTGAGCCGCGCCATGACAAAACCAACAGAGTGCGTTTGAGACCAGCATGGATCCAGACCAGTCTGCACATCCACGCAGTCTAATCAGGATCCATGCTGTTCACTATCAGTTTCTCTACTTGTTATTGAGTTGGTAAGCGAACAGTATGGATCCTGATCAGACTGCGTGGATGCAAAGGCTATGTTGGTTTTGTCGTGACACGGCTCATATATTCAAGACTATGTTGGTTTTGTTGTGACGCGGCTCATATATACAAGACTTTGGTCAGCTTGGATGTAATTCAGTAGTCTTGTTATGTTAATTCACAAAGACATAGCTGCAGGCATTAGTGTTACATTAAGATGTTGCTATTACATTTAGTTGTCACAAACAGTTTAACAAGTGTAGTTATGGCAAACTGTTTAGCAAGCTGTTAGAAGACAAATTCAGTTATAATCATTAATTTGTCTTTCCTCTCTAAAGACTGTTAGAGATATTTTTAAAGTACATTTGAAGTATTTATTGTTTAGAATTGTTGCCTCAATATAACAATTAATAGACAGATGCTAGCAGTTACAGGTTACCTTTACACTCTAGGTACTGTTGTCAAAAATATAACTACAATGTGGGTTTTAAGAACAAGAAGACACATTGTTTTAAAAAAAGTTTACTAGATTGAAAAAAAGGGTTCAGAAGAAAATATGATGATGCACATTTAGCAATTCACAGTACACAAATTATTCTATTTCTTTTAGATATTTCTGGCAATTTTTGTTGCTACCTCTTGCTCTGTTATTATTATTATAATATAAATGTAAGTGACATCCTTTCTGAGAAAGTAGAACATTGGTTGTTGTGACAGTATTTTATTGCTTAAAACATATTGAACATTGTGAAAATTTTTACTGTTTTTGTTTTTTATAATGTGGCATTTAACAAATTTTTGCGCCATATAAGACATCCATGTTTTATCCTGAAAACTACTTTTTTCTAGCGTATTATACTTTCCATAGAATTTAAACACAATAATGCTTGTGAAACTGAAAAAATGTTCATAGATGAAAAATTCTAATCTAAAAACATGGCAAGCATTAACATAGAAACTTTATATACTTGTATATATTACAATTTTCCTTTATACATACATTAAAATACCTACATGTAGCTTGAGCAAATTTATTGAACTGTATTGCTGGCTCCCATTTTGATAATATATTGTATTTCCTCTTGTAAGGACATAGCTTTGATAAGATACGCAAACTTTCTTTTATTAATATAATAATCAGTCTGACCATAATCCTGTAATATAGCTCCTGGTAGGCTGTACACAATAATTTGTTAATGCTTAAAGCAAAATGACATATATACAACAGAAAAAAACCCTGATAATACTTAAGTATATTTTATAAGTTATTAAAAAGTGAAGAATGAATTGGTAAGAAAAGATACAACATACTGCATCTTGGAAAGGAAATCAGAGTCTTGCATTGAAGCAAAAATGCATTTGTGCTCTTTTTTTGGCATAAGTGAAGTACCAAATGAAAAGTTTCCTGTATACATATAAGCATTTTGTTAAACAGTTAAAATAATTTGAGAATTTGTACTTGTCATCTGACATACCGTGTTTCATAAAGTCAGATACACAGAAATGGAATATGTCAGACCACTAATGGATGGTCATCATTAACTTCCTATGTACCTGAATTCTGAATTATGAATTAGATGAGATAAATATGAACTCTCTTTGTAATTTACAATTTTTAAAAAAAATTATTTTATCTGTATCATTGCTCTTTCTTTATGTTTTTCTGATAAAATACCATTATACATGTAATTCTATCTATCTATATTTCCCTTCTCAATATATCCACATTGTGTATGTTTTGTCATTTTTTACAAGTAAAGAAAAACTATAGTTGAACACTGATTATTTTGATTTTATCTTAATAATATAACATACTGTTTGAATTTAAGTGTATAAAGCTATATATCTGCTGCAAAAATAAATAAAAAAATAAAGCATCCACATTGCTTGTATGAAATATTTATAGTAGTGATTGTCTTAAAACCAATTTATACACAAAATCATTGCTAAATGGTTAAAACCCTACTTAAAAAACCAGAATAATATTTTGTTCTGGAATTTTATTCTATTTATGTACAATATTCATGTGTGTTAAATAAAGAGACATTCTATGTTACAACTCTTTCGAGAATCGTCCATGAGATTATAGAAGCAATATAATTTCACTGTTGATATATTTTAGACATATTTGGATATTTGTTTGTTTTGCATGTAAGATTGAAATATAATTTCACTGAGTGAACACCAGATTCAATATTTTCACGAGTGGCGTAGCCACGAGTGAAAATATAATAGCTGGTGTTCACGAATGAGATATATTTCAATCTTATATGTAAAACAAATAAATTTCTTTTTATTTCATGCTTTTTAAGTGATTTTTAGGATTTTTTACTGATTTGCCGCGTAACGTCGCGCATTCTCCTTTGTGACGTCACATCATCAATTTTGAAATATAGTTCTGTTAAATTTCTCTAATTTTGTTACATTTTTAACATGATGTATGGTGATATCGACTTTCTTTGCCTAAAGAAGCAAAATGTATGTATGATGGCATGTATTTCTGCCATTTAGTTATGATTTTCTTTTCATCCGCATTCAGATAATGTCCGGCTACAGTGAACATTATATTTTGTAAATTTCAATTTTGGTTTATCAGAACATAATCATCTGATGTATTACAATAAAACACTGGAAAGCATGAAATAAAGCTTTATACCCTTTTAATATGTCTCCAGGAGAAATAACATACACATGTTTACACATTAGTAAAGCAAAGGTTATAAAATTATCCTTATTGGTTTCTATATAGCCTGTCACTGCTGTCCATTTTTTTCCAATATGGATGAAATACATGTACATGTAGATGGTTGTTAATGTAATCACTGAAAAATCTGTAAATGTATGGCACAAAAACAAACATGTTTAGAAAAATTTGTACATGTCGTCTAACATATGACACATGCACAACCAACTTGATCAAATCCTCTCTTGTCTTTGTCACATCCTCTTTCATCGTGTAGCTGAAATACATGTATTCAAAAACATTTTTAACAGATCTCACCATAAACTTTTAACAACTGAGAGCTTTTATATGTCCAACTTCAATTAGTCAGTTGAATAAAATTAAATTCCAGATTTTTCCTCTTATAAATTCTTTTTTTTTAACCTATGTGTGGACTGAATTTTTATGCCCTAATTTTTTGACATGTTGAAGTTTTTATGTGGTTCGTAAAGAACAATTTTACCATTAATAAAATGAAGTTTATCGATCAATTTGACGCTTTCAATCTAGATTGATTGTGTCAAATTGATCGATAAACTTCATTTTAAACTTTGTTTAGTTGTGGCCCTTTTACTAACTTGTAAACGTGGACAGCTCTAAGTTTTGGTATGAAATTGAGACTGGTTTGTAAGTCAAAGTTTTCACAGAAGTCACTTCAACTTCGACTAACCAAAGTTCTACTGTACTAAAAAGTTTTTAAAATCATTTGGAACAAATGATCACCATTATAAGATGATTTGCAGAGCTCAAAAGCCAGGTTGCTTCTTCCAAGATCAAGGTCATACATAAAGGTTGGACAAAAGTTACAAATTGTACGGTGAATAGCGTTGTAGCTAAACATTAGTCTGTCTGTTGTTGTTGATTCACTGTTTTTGTAAAGTTTACAGTTATGCTCCGTAACCTCAATACTATCAAAGCCATTGAAACTTGTTATATGAATGCAGGGTGATGAGTTTTTGCATGCAACACCTATTATCAGAGAAAAAAAATCAAGGTCTTTGGTTACTGTGTTTGTAATAGATCAAGATTTATAAATAACTATCAAAGCTATTCAGTTCAAATTGGTATACTTGTTCTTTATCAAATTATGCCATATGATAAGGACAGCTAAAATTATATTTTGCAAAGAATGTCTCTATTTTGACTCTGACCCTGATTAACTTTGTTATTAGGATTAATTTCTGAAAAATTATCAAATATATTTGCTACTATGTTGGAATACTTGTTCAATATCAATGTTACAATGCATTTTTGAAGGGCAAATAACCCTGAAAAACATTTTGGTGAATATTCTTGCACAGAAAGTTACAGATGTTCACATCAGGCTACTTTTGAACAGAATTATGCCCCCCCCATTTTCTTCTCCCTTAATATCATGCTATCAAAAATTCATTTAAGTGGATTGTGCTGCTCCTCTGACAGCTCTGGCAAATGTTTAATTTTAATATTAAAAGTGAATTTCTCATGGAAAATTAATACACATACAATGATTGATAGGTTAGTGTCATGAGTCCACATTCAAATAATTGGTAGTTTTATTAATTTTCTCACAAATATTCTTTTGTAATCTTTGGTTTTAAACTGGACAAGTATGCTTTCAACACAACTATGAACAAAAATATTTACTCCACTCTTTGTTTCAAACAAAAACTTAAATTGTAATGAATTAAGAAATTACCAAAACAAAACATGGTTTTGTATCAATTAAAAAAATCTTTTTATACAACAGATTGTCCATTAAGTTGAAGCCTGTATGAATAGAACTTAACTTGCATCTAATCAAATTTTCAAGCAAAGGGTGTTTTTTTTCACTGTGAAAAATTAGTCTTTTTTATTTCTTGTGTTGAAATAGAAACTTAAAACTTAATAATAGATTTTGAAATGAAATAATTGAAAATGTTACCTGCTTTACTTCTGCAAATGTGCCAACATGTCCACAGTTGTCACATGTGACTATCTCGTGGGCCATGTCCCTCATGGCAGCTTTATCCAATACATTTTTTTGCTGAAAAATATTAGATAACAGTTTTTTTGTTTAATATAGGTCACAGTTTTTTGCAAATTATTGCAAGTTCCATTAAAATGTCCATTAGAATATTCAAAGAAAAAATGGCATATTTTTCCACCATTCTATGAACATGTATCTTATAGATCAAACAAGTATAGATATGGCAGGAGTAACACATCAAATTGTCATCAACCCCTTCTTCCTCCGCCTACCACCACACACATTTTTTATCATATAGCCGTATATGCTTGAAAAATTAAGCTGTGTGGGGAAAATCTGCACTATTTTGGGGAAAAAAAATCAATGTTTTATTGGCAATTTTCAACAACTTTGTCAAAAAAATCAATGTATGCAGTCAAGATAGATTTAGTTTGCAACCATATCACTAAAGTCTGCTCAGAGTCTTATTCTTTCATTGCATTATTTTGTTTTTAATCAAGAAAGTGAAAATACGAATATTATCACCTTTAGTTTGAAGCAGTCATGTTCGGTCGGCAGGTCGTCCTCAATGCATAGATCACATCTTTTGCCAGATCTAAAATTAAATGTACATTTATGTTGTGTAATATAAAACTTCATTGAAGTTGTGTATACACAAAACTTTTGGAATTTTACACAAGTTGTCATATAAATAACATTTTATCAAACATGTTAAAAAACTAGTAGGAGAGGGAGGCAGGCGAACTTTCAACATTTATTTTCTTGTTTTATGACAACAAATAAGAGATTCATTTTATCACTTTATTTGATTTAATAAGATAAAAGCTCAGATACATGTACATAAAATATGCATCATTTTTAGCTTGACTATGCAAAGATTAGGGGGAGTTATTGTACATATCAGGGGTTGTCATCACACTTCTTTAGGTTTGCATGCAAGTTTGTATTTCCAAAACTACTTAGGTAAATGGGTTAAAACATGTTTTTGAGAGCATAATAGTAGGTCTTTTTGTAAGGCCCATAAGTCACATGGACATTGAAAGAATTATGGCTCTATTTGAAATTAGAAAATTCTACATTATCCAAAGTCTTGTTTTACTATTAAACAGTTGAGTACACTATCCTACTGACAGCTGTTGATATCATATTAACTGTGTTGACTAAAATGGTATAACAACTTTAAACTTTACATTATCGCTTTTAGACAAGGATGTTATTGTTATCCACATATTTTTGTACAGTCACAAAGTTAACTGGAATTTTGTTGGGAAAGGCAAATATAGTAGTATACAATGTTATTTTATCAGAATGTTTTCTGTTAAAAATTTGATAGCACTAAACATTACATATCAACCATATCAATAGGCTGTTGGTCACCAAATTAATGACAAATGAAAAATTACTGTGATCAGTAGTGTAATAATAATTTTATAAATAAAAAGTATAGAAATGCCTTTCAGCACAAGAAGCATGAATAGATGTGTCAAGTTTATACGGGTTAGGTCGGTTTTAGCCAAAAACTGGTTAGAAAATTCAATAACTGGTAACCATAGTATATCAGACCAATAGCCAAAATAATTTAGTAATTATTTTATATATTACCTTTGTTTAACGTTGACATTTTGTTTTAAATTTGGTTGGTCAGACCTGTGTTTTTCTCAGTTGCATGCAATCTTATTGTGCATGTTACTGCTGTTGCAGGAAATAATTACTCTTTAATTGAATTGAAGCTTTTGTAATCTTGTCATGTACATCAAATTCAAACTAAATGGCATATCTTGTCATAAAGAAACAAAGTTAATGTTCATAATTTCAGAATTCTTTTTGTACAGTCAGTAAACCTTTAAAGGGACTCCACTGAGGTTTTTTGACATGATGGGACTGAAAATATTTTTTCCAGATAAATGTACCATTTGATGTAGGTTTAGAACACTAATCTATGTGCAAAATTTCAGATCATTCGCGCACTTCGTTTTATCCAGAATAAGTATTCAAATTGTAAAAAATGAGCGTTTAAATGCTTTTCACTCAAATCGGGCTAAGAAAAGCATAAAAATACTACTTTCGATTTATTTCAAAGTATATTTCTTAACTATCTTTTCATATATTTCTTTATAAAGTGCCCCAGCTCCTTTATGTAAGAAATTCAAACGTTATGTTTTTAGGCTTTTAAACATCAGAGGGGTCCCTTTAAGACAGTTATTGTGTTTCTTTTTCCTTAACTTCAAACAAACAAAAATGAGCATTTGATTACAATACTGATAATTACAATATTGTCATAATAACAATGTTTAAAGCAATAAAAATGATGAGAAAGGAACATACCCTTGCATTTTACAGAGACAGGCCCAATGGAACTTGTGTCCATTGTCTACTGTCTGGCACACATTCTTTTCTAGCCATTCTTCACATACTGGACATCTTCCTTGCAGATGTTTATTCATGCATATAAACTTTTTATTGCCATGTTTCTTCAAGTTTTTTCCCCCAGTTTTTGTTAGATTTTCCATTTTTCTTCTTCTTTTCCACTCCACTGCACTGCAACAGGATGTGCATACTGTCTTCCTGTCATGCGTATTACATTTGTGGTTTCCCGTATGTTGGCGAACGATCAATGTTTACACAATTCTAAATTTATCATATTTACTCGCTCTACCTGAATATTTAAGTGTACAGTTTTTGATTCATATCTTTTGGAATCGGTTCAAAATCAATATTTGAAAATTTCGAATACTTGAATGACAACAAAGCCCTTTGTTCATACTAGGTCTTCATGAAAAGAAGAATATTGAACACTTGAATTGCCCTGTAAATATGTAACGGGTGAAAGACTAGATAACATATGTACTTTTGTCACTTGCATTGTAAAAACTTCCTTTGATCTACACAGTTCTGTGCTTTTGTTTCTGCGAAATGACCCAGACATAAATTAAGTTTTTACTTTATTTGGTCCATTCTTCTCCATTTGTACTTCTCAGTATTCACTTTTTTTTTCATTCATCTCATCTCATTAATAAAATCTAACAAACCCTCTTTCAGAAGCTTTTACCGAGAGCCTTTATTCATTTGATTTGATTTCTTTATTTCTATTGCCATTATTCAGATATTGCTATCTGGTCTTTAATTCTGAATACTTTTCATTCTGTCTCTCAATGACATGCCAATATTACTGTTCCTAAGATATGTCTTGGTTTCAACATTACCATTAATGTTGGATTCTGAAATAGAAAAACATATACTAAATGTACTATTAATCTTTGAGGAAAGATGCATTCTGTAATGTATGAAGGGCAGAAATAAATCATGACAAATGAACTAGTATACCCTTACTTTCAGTTCTATATCAGTTACCAGATACATGTACTTCAACTAAACAAATCTTCCAGGTATATACTTGAACAACAAGCACAATAAACTTGTGATTTTTCTAATACAGCCACCATGTTCCAATAAATTGTTTGCATTTGATGTATCACTGGTACATTGTTTGCATTTGATGTATCACTGGTACATTGTTTGCATTTAATGTATCACTGGTACATTGTTTCCATTTGATGTATCACAGGTACCGTGTTTCCATTTGATGTATCACTGGTACAGTGTTTCCATTTGATGTATCACTGGTACATTGTTTCCATTTGATGTATCACTGGTACAGTGTTTCCATTTGATGTATCACTGGTACAGTGTTTCAAGTTGATGTATCACTGGTACAGTGTTTCCAGATGATGTATCACTGGTACATTGTTTCCATTTGATGTATCACTGGTACAGTACTTCCAGATGATGTATCACTGGTACAGTGTTTCAAGTTGATGTATCAATGGAACATTGTTTCCATTTGATGTATCACTGGTACAATGTTTCCATTTGATGTATCACTGGTACATTGTTTCCATTTGATGTATCAATGGTACAGTGTTTCAAGTTGATGTATCAATGGAACATTGTTTCCATTTGATGTATCACTGGACCATTGTTTCCATTTGATGTATCACTGGTTCAGTGTTTCCAGATGATGTATCACTGGTACAGTGTTTCAAGTTAATGTATCAATGGAACATTGTTTCCATTTGATGTATCACTGGTACAATGTTTCCATTTGATGTATCACTGGACCATTGTTTCCATTTGATGTATCACTGGTACAGTGTTTCCATTTGATGTATCACTGGTACAGTGTTTCCAGATGATGTATCACTGGTACAGTGTTTCAAGTTAATGTATCACTGGTACATTGTTTCGTTGTCGAGGGGTTAGAGTCGATGACTTCTAATCCAGTTACCTCTCTGGCGTGGGTTCGATCCCCGGGAGATGCTTTGGTAGTTTAGCGCCGAGGAAGGTAGTCTAGTACTGGTGTAACTCTCCAGGAACGATGGTTAGGAAACTACCCGCCTATATGACTGAAATACTGTTGAAAAAGGCGTAAAATGAAACAAACAAACAAACAAGTTTCCATTTGATGTATCACTGTTACATTGTTTCCATTTGATGTATCACTGGTACATTGTTTCCATTTGATGTATCACAGGTACAGTGTTTCCATTTGATGTATCAATGGTACAGTGTTTCCATTTGATGTATCACTGGTACAGTGTTTCAAGTTGATGTATCAATGGTACAGTGTTTCAAGTTGATGTATCAATAGTACAGTGTTTCCATTTGATGTATCACTGGACCATTGTTTCCATTTGATGTATCACTGGTACATTGTTTCCATTTGATGTATCACAGGTACAGTGTTTCCATTTGATGTATCAATGGTACAGTGTTTCCATTTGATGTATCACTGGTACAGTGTTTCAAGTTGATGTATCAATGGTACAGTGTTTCAAGTTGATGTATCAATGGTACAGTGTTTCCATTTGATGTATCACTGGACCATTGTTTCAAGTTGATGTATCAAGTGTTTCAAGTTGATGTATCAATGGTACATTGTTTCCATTTGATGTATCACTGGACCATTGTTTCCAGTTGATGTATCACTTGTTAGTGTTTCACATCAATGTTTTAACCCTTCCCAATGTCTTGCTCTACCTGTAAAGCTTGACAGTTGCATTACATGACAAAATTTCTTGAAAAGGAGTTCCCTGATAACTCCTTGATACATTCTGAAAAGAAATTATTTTGATTTGTTACTGTGTAGAAAAGATTTATAAGAAACTGTTCTAAATTTGTATATTCATTTCCTATTAAATTAATACTAAATAAATTACTAGTAGTTAAAAAACCAAAACTGAAAATATAGTTCAGTTATCTTTATGTTTTAACACAATTTTTTATTATACATACCATTATGATTTTTCTTGGTTTCTTTATTTTCTTAATATCCATGCAATTTTAACAATATTTTTAACATGTATTGCTGTCTCAATATTTTTCTCATACTGGAATAATTTAGATACCGGTATATCATTGGAATCATGCCAAATAAAACATTGGAATCATGCCAAATTTACATATACCCATTTATAAAACATTAATAATTGCCACAAACCAATATTCAATAAAACTTCAGTAGGACTAAGTAAATAGCAAACAAAATCAATAGTATACTGGTTTGGAATTTTTAGTGATTTTAGTATGTTCTTTTTTTTATGCTCCCCGAAAAAATGTCCGGGACATAACTTTGAAACAACAAGAGGTATCAACATGAAACTTTGTAGGTAGATAGATCTCATTGAGTAGGTGTGCAGTGCACAAGAACCGTAACTCTGCCTTGCCTAATTTTTGAATTATTTCCCTTTGTTTATTTTTACACTTTGAACTTTGTCCGGGACATAACTCTAAAAGTATAAGAGGTATCAACATGAAACTTTGTAGGTAGATAGATCTCATTGAGTAGGTGTGCAGTGCACAAGAACCATAACTCTGCCTTGCCTAATTTTTGAATTATCCCCCTTTGTTTATTTTACACTTTGAACTTTGTCCGGGACATAACTCTAAAAGTATAAGAGGTATCAACATGAAACTTTGTAGGTAGATAGATCTCATTGAGTAGGTGTGCAGTGCACAAGAACCGTAACTCTGCCTTGCCTAATTTTTGAATTACCCCCCTTTGTTTATTTTACACTTAGAAATTTGTCCGGGACATAACTCTAAAAGTATAAGAGGTATCAACATGAAACTTTGTAGGTAGATAGATCTCAGTTAGTAGGTGTGCAGTGCACAAGAACCATAACTCTGCCTTGCCTAATTTTTGAATTATCCCCCTTTGTTTATTTTACACTTTGAACTTTGTCCGGGACATAACTCTAAAAGTATAAGAGGTATCAACATGAAACTTTGTAGGTAGATAGATCTCATTGAGTAGGTGTGCAGTGCACAAGAACGGTAACTCTGCCTTGCCTACTTTTGGAGTTATTGCCCTTTGTTCATTTTGACACTTTGACTTTGTCTGGGACATTACTCTAAAATTATAAGAGATATCAACATGAAACTTTGTAGATAGATAGGTCTCATTGGGTGGAAGTGCAGTGCACAAGAACCGTAACTCTGCCTTGCCTTATTTTGAAGTAATTGCCCTTTGTTTATTTTTACTTTTTGACTTTGTCCTGGACAATACTTTAAAACTATTAGAGATATCAACATGAAACTTTGTAGGTAGCTAGATATAATTGGATAGAATTGCAATGCTTAAAGAACCTAAACAAAGCCTGGTCTAATTTTGGAGTTATTGCCCTTTGTTCATTTTTACACTTTGACTTTTACCTGGGACATAATTCTGATATCATCAGGAAACTTTATAGATAGATAGATCTCATTGAATAGAAGTGCAGTGCAAAAAAACATAACTCCGCTTTGCCTAATTTTGGAGTTTTTGCCCTTTGTTCATTTTTTTTATACTTTCCTGTGTCCAGAACCTTCTCGGGGAGCATCACCCGGTTCAACCGGTTCTTGTTTCAAAAGATAACAAGTTTCTCATTTTCATTTTTTTAAACTTAACTAGTGCGAATATGCCAAAATAAGGATATCATAGTGGGGTAGATTACTACTGAACACAATATTCAGATGATATATTTAGTAATTGAATAATTGTATGTCTTAAGCACATAGAATTAAATGTAACATGTAACAGTACTGTCATTCATACCTATTTATGCGTTATAATTATTGCTGATGAAAATACAAGAGCGATCAGTAATCACATAACTCGGCCAAAATTTATTCAACCTAAAAACCTGTGTAATATGCATGAATACTTGAGCTACCGATTAATCCTGTAATTAGTTTCATTGAAAATGCATTAGTGGTAAAAGAGGAGTAGTCCAAAATTAAAACCATTAAAGGACCATCACTCTGACAAAAATCAATGAACCGAAAAATGTCAATGAGATGCACGACTAGACATGATTTAACTTTATTAACACCCTTTTCAATCAAGGGCCATAACTCGGCCAAAAATCATTCAAGCATAAAATCGTGTAATATGTGCAAAAAAATGACCTACCTGAATCAATCCTGTAAAGTTTCATTTAAATTCCATAAGTGGTATAAGAGGAGTAGTCTGGACGAACTTAAAAAAATAAAAGTAATCTGCCGTCTGTCAGTTAGTCCCTCACAAAACTTGTGATTCAAGGATCATAACTCATTCAACTGGAAAACTCAAGCAATATGCACAAGGACTTGAGCTACAAATCAATCCTGTAAAGTTTAATTGACATTGCATTAGTGGTATTATAATAAGAGTAGTCCAGACAAACTTTAAAAATTATAAAAGGGCCATAACTCTGACAAAAAGCATTGAACAGAAAATGCAGATAATATGCACAACGAGACTTGGTACTGATCATTCCTGTAAAGTTTGAATGAAATTGCACCAGGTGTTTTTGAGGGGTAGTTTGAACAAGTTTTTAAGTGACAGACAGACGACTGAGAAGTGATCCCTAAATGTCGTTACTACTCTGTAGAGGCGACACATACACAAAGAAAATCAATGAGAATTTAAAACACAATATATTAAATGTATATGGAATACATTGTATATTATTAATAAAAAAAAGCCACACAAACATGAACATTCAGTAATTATGTCTCCCAATATTTTTGGGAGACATTGTTATTGCCTTTGCTGTCTGTCAGTACGTCCGCATTCAGCTTGTCCGGCTTTCACAGGTCAAACTGCTGGCTGGATTTCAATGAAACTTAACAGGAGTGATCAGTACCATCCCTAGTTGTGCATATATATAGCTGGCATGATCTGCTTGGCTGCACAAAATGGCCACCAGAGCTATAAATAGAGAAATCTTGTTACAGGCCAAACTGCTGTTGGGATTTCAATGAAACTTCACAGAAGTGATCAGTACCATCCCTAGTTGTGCATATCGCCGGCACATTCGGCATGGCCGCCAGAGCTATAAATAGAAAAATCTTGTCCGGCTTTCAAAGGTGTAACTGCTGCCAGGATTTCAATAAAAACTCACAAGAGTTATCAGTGCCATCCCTAGTTGTGCATATCTTCCACATGATTGCTTGGCTGCACAAAATGGCCTCCAGAGCTATAAATAGAAAAAAATCTTGTGGTCAAACTGCTGGCAGGATTTCAAATTAACTACATAGGAGTGATCAGTACGATCCCTAGTTGTACATATCGCCGTCACGTTCTGGTTCGCTGCACATAATGGCCTCCAGAGATATAAATCGAAAAATCTTGTCGGGCTTTCCCAGGACAAAAACTCCGCTTAGTTATTTATTGTAGACGTTCTGATTAGATGCACTCAACAGTACATTTTTAAACATAATCCATTTTTTTTTTATACATTATACATATAATTCCTAAAACAGAGAAACAAGTTTTAAGTGAAAACTATAATTATTGTTTTTAATTAACACCGACTGGGGGCTTGCATTTTTAGCTCGACTATACGAAGTAAATGGAGAGCTGTCCTACTCACCTCTGCATCCGTGTCCAGATTTCAGATTAAAGTTTTGGTGCAGTTAAATATTTTTCACTAATACTTTTTCATTTCTTAAGGTATCAACTTCAAATATATGTTCCTTATCATCAACCACATCTTATGCGACAAGGTTCATAATGCTAGCACCAATATATTCAGATTTAACTCCCCTTGCACTTAAAATTTTCCTTAAAAAATATTATTATTTACTGTTACTTCTTTATTTCTTAAGGGATCAACTTTAAGCTTCAAATATATATTTCTTATCATCAACCACATCTTATGTGACAAGGTTCATAACTCTAGCACTAATATTTTCAGTTTTATCTCCCCTTGAACCTAGAATTTCCTTAAAAAATATTATTTTTTACTGTAACTTCTTTATTTCTTTAAGGGATCAACTTCATACTTCAAATATATGTTCCTCATCATCATCCATATCTTATGTGACAAGGTTCATAACTCTTGCACAATATTGCAAGAATTATCTCCCCATTTACTTAGATTTCCTATATGAAAATTGTTACTTTTTACTACAACTTTTTTAGTTTTAAAGGTATCTACCTCAAACTTCAAATACATATTCCTTATCATCAAACACATCTTATGTGACAAAGGTTCATAACTCTTGAAGCAATATTTTCAGATTTATCTTCCTTTGAATTTTATTTAAGAAATTTTATAACTTCTTTACTTTTTAAGGGATCTACTTCAAGTATACATTTCTTATCATTACACACATGTTGTGTGACATGTCCAGGTCTAGTGTGACTTTTTCCAGAATTATTCCCGCTTGAACTTGGAATTTGTTAACAACTAGAACTTAGAAATATATTTATATCATAATTGATTTTTCTTTCATAGTTTTGTCTTCCTTACTGTGTCCAGTATTTAATTAGTCAAGCTTAGCTGTGTCCTGTGACAGCTCTTGTTAGCTCACTTGTCGCAAAGTGACAAGGTGAGCTTTTGTGATCACAATTCATCCTGCATCCGTCCATAAACTTTTACTTTCAAAAACAACACCTAAAAAACCCCTTAGCCAATTTTATCTAAACTTCACAGGAATGTTCCTTAAGTGGTAACACTTAAAATTGCTCAAAGAATTTAATTCCATGCAGAACTCTGCAAATTTCTTTAAAAAACCCAAAGAGCTAGAGCTTAGATATTTGGCATGCAACATGTTCTAGTGAGTGTCTTCTAAGTCTATTCAATAAAAGCCCTGGAGTCAAAATTAGCATGCCTTGGGGGGTCATTGATTTTCGTTATATGTACACATCTTTTGGAACTGTTGTTTTCCCTTAGCAATAGCAACCAGTAATGTTTTACATATGCACTATTCCAGATACAAATATGAACTTTGTGATTTCAGTTTAGGATTTAGATTTTATATATGCTTTTGTTGATAGTTTACAATATTACTTGTTCCTTCTCATGAAGAATTTGTTTATTCAGGTGAGCGATTTCAAGGCCATCATGGCCCTTTTGTTTTTAAAAGTGGTGGAGAGGAAAGTTGCTTATTTAAGCACTTATAATTTGTGCTTTAAAATATGTTAGTAGATTATAAAAGTCAACTATACTTGTGATAAGATTATTTGCTCTTCCATATATAGATTGAATTTTTATGTGAGGAACTTCTGCACAATGTAGAAGGGGAGCTAAATAGATGGAATATTATTAGACACATAATCAGAAGATCTACACATTTATATTACAAATAAATGTTCCCTAATTATGACATACTAGCAAGAGGGAGAAGTGAGGTTGATGAAAACAAAATATTGTTATTAGCTTCATATACATATATGTAATGTTTAAGGTGACAACGGAATCAATTATCACTGAAAATACCTAAAATGAGATTTTTGCTTAGTAGATTTATCAACCTTTAACACATTCGTGATTTAATTTTAGAATCAGTTATATATATACATATATACATATTATTTATATTTATTTATTTATATATATATATATATGCACCTACACACATTTATATATATATATATATATATATATATAATACATATACTATACATGATATATATATATACACACACACCAATAAATGAACAAATCTGAGAAAATTCAGTAATATAACCTTCAAGGTCAAGGTCATTAAAGAGCCCAACCAAATTTGGGTTAGATAAACAACAAGGTCTGGTCCTTAAGAATGTTCTGTTATAATATGAAGTTTATCCCTTCAATAATAGCAAAGTTACAGTCAGTAACCGCCAAAAATTTCAATAATTTGACCTTCAAAGACAATGTCATTAATGAGTGAAGGTCAAGGTCTTTGGGTATATTTTTAACAGTTATCTTTGAAGATTATTATGTTCAAGTTTCAAGACAATCCATTCAAAAATAACAAAGTTACAGCCAATAAAAGCCAAAAAAAATGAAAATTTCAATAATTTGACCTTCAAAGTCAAGGTCATTTATGAGTGAAGGTCAAGGTCTGGCTGGTTATTTTTAAGGGATATCCTTAAAGATTATTATGTTCAAGTTTGAAGACAATCCATTCAAAAATAACAAAGTTACAGCCAATAACAGCATGAACAAGGAAAAATTGGACTTTTAACTATGAAGGTCAAGGTCATTTATGGATGAAGGTCAAGGTTAGTGTGGTCTACTGAAAGGTCTTGTCCCAAGGGTTGTTGTGGCCAAGTATGAAGACAATATACCAAGAAATAAAAAAGTTATGATCCAGGTACAAGTTTTCGGACGGCAACGGCAACGCCGACCTGACTATAACAATACCTCTACTTTATTTTCAAAAAAAAAAAAAGTCGAGCTAAAAATGAGCCACTTTGTTGCAAAGAAACAACAAAAACAAAGTACATGTAGAAAATTTTACTGAAACAGTTATCACAGATTTTGAGAATAACATTCATTATACATGAAATCTCTTCAGGAAATAACAAGTAAAATTGTTGTAACTCCAAAAATGTTGAAATGACAAAATATACAACACTACACTCAAGGACACTTTATGTGTTAGTTTGATGTTGCACACACATGTGAAAAAAGCGTTATAATTAACCCCACCCCCCCCCCCCACCGCCCACCCAAACAAATTAGTGCGTCAGTGTGTTTTTATTTTAAGATATTGTGGGGTAGGGACTTTAAACATACTAGTCACTCTTCAAAGGAGGTGAATCATAATTCTTTAACTTCTCGAAACAGAAAGACTGGTGAGGAAGAAAAACATATTGATGTAATCTTCAGAATAAAATGCTCACACACAATCTTCGGTGTATCTTGATTAAAATGATAATGCTAAGACGTAAGAGTGATAAACTGGTCAGAGAAAGGCAATGCATATAGACTATAGTAGAAAAATCAGCTGGTACCAAACTACAACAGATGCTGTCACAGGGAAAAACTTTGAATAACACCTTCTTATAATCCACAAGAACATATGAACAATAATTAAATATATTGCTGAAACTGTATAAAATTGTTCATCAACTTATTAAACATGTTAAATATTCATCAATCAAAGAAATCTTCTATATCTATGTTAGGGTCTAGTAAATGCTCTTTAAAAGGAGTCAAGTCTGTCTGATTTAATATAAGATTTTCAAATGTTTCCTCCAAGTCTGTTTCCCCAATTAGTATAGCACCTTGTAATCTACCATCCTGTAATACTGCTTTAACATATTCCACTCCTGAAATATATTAACAAGAGATAAATTAGCCCAGGTTTCTATGATATCACGGTACTTAAATTTTATCGGAAAATATTTAAATATATATATATGAATGAGATTTTTCTTCTATTTTACAAGTGAACTCTTTCCATAACTGTTTGTCAAAGATTTATTTCAAAAGATCCAATTTAAATGTCATTTTCTGAACTTAATCAACTATTTCCATTGTCTGCCATTTGGGGTAATCTCACAGGATGTTTCTACAGTATTACGGTATTCCTAAAAATGCAAGTATTGAAGGATAGATGTGTCACCGTCTCAAAATAAAGTTGTGAAAAAATTCAAACAGATAACTTCGTGTAAAATTCAAACAATATGAAAAGACGATATGTCAGTATATGGGATTAGAGCATATATTAATTGACTGTGTAAAAACCGTAGTCAAATATGAACATTTCAAAAAAACACAAATATATTCATTGCTCACAAAATTAAATTTATTGGCAGCTGCTATGCGATTTAGTTAAACAGTTCTGAAAATATTAGCATCGTCATGTGTTGCTTTTACTAGCAGTCGCAGGAAATGTAAATACCGTGATATCATAGGAACTGAGTATAATATCTACATCTTGTGAAAACCAGAATGATAATTTGGTAACCAGTTACCAAAACCATGAGACGTGAATTTACATCTGTAATCACTAAAATGGCATTTTATTAATATTTATTCATATGATGAACATTTTAAACATGCCACAAAATCATATTTTCTCCCATTATATCATATTAGATAATAAAATAAAAGCCATTATTCCCCCCCCCCCCCCCCCCCCAAAGGATCAGATCACAATATCCTCTCAATACTAGTATGCTGAACACTAATTCTGGAAAACTGTGTTGCAATCCATTTAGAAATGTGAAGCAAAAAAAAAAGTTGAAAAAAGCTGTTAAAGCCTAAATGCCTGTTTGTTTAAATTCACCAATAGCCAGAGTTTTCTGTCAGGAGACGGGTAAAAATAAGTACAAAATAAATGCATTCTTAGAAAATATTATGACCATGAGTCAGTATTTCTGGTTATTGACTGCAATTTGTTAGTTTGTTACCATGGACTTTATGATTATTTGAAAAATACATATTCATATCCATTACACTTATTTTAGAAGTCCATACTTACCTTTAGTTACTCTTAATAACAATTCATAATTAGTTCCCAATCCCTGTGCATTAAACCTTCCCAGCAATATAACCTGAAATAAGTTCATAAAAACTAAATTTCACTCAAAAAAAACTCTACAACTAGAAAAAATAATACATTTTATTTACAAGCTTGAGCTAAGTTTCATTTATAAAGAACAATTATGTACTCAGTAGATTAAAAAATATTTTATAATTGGTGGTGTACAATGGAAATGCAGAACACGTGTCTTAGAATTTAAAAATCTACAAGTCATGCATTAAAGTGATACTGAGGACACTTCATTATTCTTTTAGGATGTAATTTACTATGAATTGCTGAAATTACTTCAGCCAGTTGTGATTGGTACCTGAGTAGATGGTTTAATTCTGAGTAACCATAATGTTTGATTCCATAAGCAGAGTAAGACTGCCCTTGTGGACTGATATACATGGGTCAGAGGCATTGAACGCCACCAATTACAAAATGCAATGAATAATGATTAACACAGTGTATCGTTAATACTCATTTGAAAACAATGGTTTGTGTAATTTCGACAATATTTCTTAATATTTAGAAGAAATGATGAAATTGACAAAATGATGTACTAAAAACAATCATGTTGACGTATTTATCATTGGACCAATGTTAGCTGGAAAAGGCCTATGTCCAACATAAAATATAATATAAAACATGACAATAGTTTAACCTCTGTAGACTCGAACTACTGATCTCTTGAACATGCACAGGCCTTCCGAGTTCGATCGAACAAAGTTTGACTGTATTAGGTCTCAGATATCTATTTGTAAATACTTTACCTTGTAATTAAAGAATTTAGTGACATGAGCAAATACTTCGAAACAGAAATCCATTGATATACTCTCATTGCAGGTATGAGCCACCATACATTTTGCTGCGTATGCTGCCATCTGGCGAGCTTGTGACCATAAACGCATCTTAAACAAAAAAGAAGTATAAGGGCATCAAGATTAATTTCTATCCACCTTGATATGCACTGTTACATATTTGAGAGTCAAACTTACATACTTATTAGCGATACCTCACTTTTTATCAACATATTGCAATTATTTTGTTATTTTGCATAAACAGTACTGCCCTCCACACTCAAATGCAAGTAAACAATATCAGATGTTCGATATTCTATTAATTAACTATAATTTTAATCAAAATCTCTCAAACTCAGGTAAAATTAACTATATACAATATTACCCTGTAAAAATGCTTTAAGTATAGCCCAAAGACAATGCGGTCAAGAACTGATGTGAATGGGAAAGTACCTGATAGTGGCATTATTGGTAAAATATTCAAGTAACCTTTGATGTAATTTTTTCATATTAGCCAATAATATTACATTATTTCCCAAACAAATTCCATGGCAAAAGTTCATAGGTCACAAGGAATAGTTTATTGCTGTATGCTATGTCAATAATATAGTCTCCCCCCTAGTTGTTTTTACAGTACATACATGTATATTGCTTGTTGAGCTTAAAACATCTTGACCCAGTTTGTCAAGAAATGCCATGTTTTAACAGTTCATTTATTAAACATAAATTATTAATTTCACCACTGAAACTCTATGCAGAAACAACAGAAATGTTAAATATTTCCATTATAAACTGTATAGCATTCCAGGCTTTTGAAGGGAGAAATGTATTCATCAGTCAAGGTTCACAGGAATTGTTAAGTTAAGAATTATTGACCTATGTTTTTACCATGATTCATGTTCCTCTGTTTTGTCTATAATTTACCCAAGATTTTCAAACTTCGGGCCAAATATTACCTGTAACCAATGTTGAGCATGTTCCCAGCATGCCGTGCAAACATCTCCTGCTGCATATACATCAGTTTCTGACGTCTGCATTTTATCATTTACTTGTATTCCACCATCTTCAGCAAGTTTAAACTAAAATGATGAATTCAAGAGATAAAGTAACAAACAAATAAGAGATATGATCTTTTTGGGGAAAACTTCACTTAACTTCAGTTGAATAATAATAATATGTCTGTGCGATCAATATAGAAATAATATGCTAGCCTGTAATTTAGACTATGCTCATTAAATTCAAGTAAACTCTGTTCCACTGACAGTCGGCTCTTTAAGTTTTTAAATTCAGATCTTGCAATGTGACCACTGGATCTTTCAAAAAATTTAAGCAGGATAGGTACAATACAAACTAAGATTTTTTTTTATTTCATTTATGTTATGACAGACAGAAAGGCAAAACAAATTTCACCAATAATTTCTATTTAACTTCCTTTTTTATTCTTCAATTTTAAGTAAAGTTGTTAAAAACTCTTTAAGTAGCTGGTTGACTTAATGACACACTAACATTATTATCATGGAATGGTAGAGTATTTGGAACAACACCAGTTGCACTGACAACAAAGTCACAACCATACACTGTACCATTAGTGAGCTCAACAAATACAGGCCAATCTGAAACAAGAATTTTTAATTGGATAATTACAATGTTGTATACTTGATATTTATGAATATTCCTTTTTTACAAATTTACATCATAACAGGAAGTGTGCTGGCTTCAGAAAATTGATTTTATGATATTTTTTTTTCTCCCACTTTGCAAATTTGAAAACCCTATTTCACTCAAGGGTCATAAAATTCCTAATCACATGTTCATAAAGCCAAATTCCAATGCCAAAGTGTAGAGGTTTCTGATCTAGTTCCAGGGAGAAAAGTAAATCAGAGAATAAATGAATAGGAGAGTCTCATCCATCTACATTTTTATGGAGCAAAGACGCATGATCAAAAGCAATAAGAAAAACATAATGCAACATTAAAGCTATATTTATGATTAAGGCACCTTACAAACTTGTTCAACAAAAGTAAGACTTATCTATAATTGGCAAATTTTTTACTTTGTACCTGAATTTGTTGATGTTAATACAGATTGCTGTGTTTCTGACTTCCCTGATGACAATAATTCTTCTCTGGTCAATATATTAGCCACTTCCACTTTATATTCTACATGTACACAATGTCCCTTCTGAAAAATCACTGCCAAATTATAATTACTGTAACATTCCTTCATATGCTCTGAGAACAATATACAATTGAAGGAAATTTTGTTTGTTTGTTTGGATTTTACGGCACGTCAACACATAAATGGCCATATCGTGCCGAATGCTAAAATAGGCTTAAACTATTATGTAAAACGTTGTAAATAAAAAAAGAGCCAATCAGATCTTTGAATACAAGTTTATCTCTTTCAAATAATCAATGATGTTTTTTGATGGAATTGTATTAAAGAGTTCTTTGAGTGAGTTTACATTATAAAATCTGTTACGGGCCTGTGAAAAATCATGACATTCCAGAAGAAAATGCTTGACAGTAAAATTTTCATTACAGCCTACACAGAAAGGGGCATTGTCATTCGTGAGGAGATAAGAATGGGTAACTTTAGTGTGTCCAATTCGGCATCGAAGAAGAACTGTTTGATCATGGCGGTTTGACAAAGACAGAGATGGTGACACATCAAGAGATGGGTTTATATCATGAAGTTTATTAAAGACGGCATTGTCCCAATTTGCTTTCCATTCAGATGAAACGAGTTTATTTATAGCCGTTCTAAAATCACAAGCAGGTAACAATAAGTCAGTTTTTTGAAAATTTAAAGCTTGTTTAGCTAAAGCATCTACTTTTTCATTTCCTCGTATACCTACATGACTTGGAATCCAATATAATTTAACAGATTTTATTTTAAGTATATCATGAAATCGCAAAAGAAGTTTCTTTATCATGATATTGTCAGATTTTTTATTTTTAATGGATATTAAAACAGAAAGCGAGTCAGAAAATATCACAAATTTATCATGGGTATGCTGTTCTATGTATGACAATGCTAAATCTATAGCTTTTGCTTCAGCAGTAAAAATTGATGCATTATCTGGTAACCTCATACTAGATGTAAAATCATTTTCATACACAGCCGCACCTACTTTGCAACCTTCCTTTGAACTGTCTGTATAAACATGTATAAAATTTTCATGTTCTTCCTTAATTGCTAGAAACTTCTCTTTGAAATGTTCATGTGAATTTGATGTCTTTTTTATATTTGAAAGGTTAATATAAAATTATGCAATTTTAAATAAGGAAATTTAAAGAAGTTCAGTTTCCAAATATTTAGACATATCATAATACATGTATACTTATTAGTACTGAGGCCCCACATGGAAGATCGGGAAACTGAATGTGTAAGCCTCGTTAAATAAAGTCTTTACTTACTTACTTACTAGTAATTAGCAAATTGATAGCAAAGAATACTTCAATTAATGGAAACATATGTTCTCTATTCAATAATTTATGCAAAATTATCACATGACTATCATGCGATAGTAAACAAACCAAAGTTTATTCCCCTTCAATAATAGAAACATGTACATGTATAATATCGAAGCTAATTTACTCAAAATTAATGTTTAAATATATGGAATATCAAATAATACAAAACAAGTAAATATTTATGATATTAAAATGTAAATTCATTTTGCATTTTCATTGGCTAAAGTTGTTTAAAAGATATTAGTCACCTTATATTTTATCTCTCGACAGGCTGATATTGTTAGTGGTGAACAATTACATTTCTAACACTTGATTAAGAATTGATGATTTTCAAGATGATGAAGAAATTGAAAAGAACGATTATAAAACCCAGTCATATATTTTTTTCTCTACATCTAGCAATACATGTAGCATGTGTCATGCAAAAACAGTACGATTGAAAATGAATTAAATGAAAGAGCAGAATATTCCAATATAACAATATAAGGCAGCTATAGAACGTACCGTATATATGTTACCTAGCAACAGTTGTAAAATTCAGGTAAATTATCTACATACCTTATCAGCACCAGACATTTCAAGATTATTAACCCAGTCAGGACCGAGGGCACTGCCACTTGGTATCTTATTGCCTGAACTGTCAACATCAGTGTCTAGCGAAGTATGAGAAATAATGTAAACATAAAGTATATTATATCACTATCGTTTACTAAATATATTCTATATCAATTCTCAGATATTGGCAGTTCCAAAAATGTGACACAATTCAGAGAAGAAGGAAAGAATTAACCCGGAACCTTCATTCTTTTTTATCATCATCTCAGTAACACTGGTATGCTTAATAAAAGAATGTCACATAGTCATAGAATTAACACTTAGCCTACTAAAACCCACACTGATTAACATTTCACAGTATAGTGCAGTCTGACAAGGCTCTTTACTGTTGGTCAAACTATTTTTTTACTTGATCACATAGTTACTAGTAAGTCCTCTCTTCTGTACACCTGTCTAACTTATCTACCATTCACCATAGCACTTTTATTTATCTGACACCATACTTGCACAAGGTTACAAGTTCATTCAGTCAAGGTCTTAAATATCAAAAGTAGATTTTCGTAATTGCCTCCATTAACACTTAACCTTTCACTTGCTGAATTAATTAGATTGGCTTGTCCAGCTTCCTTATCTTGTACTGTTTATTATAAATTTGGGGGATAACTACACGAAAGCATACTTCTTTTCTGAGAATGCTTACACCAAAGTTCCACATAATAATTATTATGACAGGTGTGAAAATGGGACCAGCTTAATAATGTAACCATTATTCATGGTTCTTTAGGTGTCTTTATAAAATAACCTTACTGTATATGTGCATGATTTAAATACACATTCATTCAGCACCTGAAGATTCTGGAAATATCTTTCAAACATTTATTCAAAAATATCATTTACTTCTTCACATGATTATATAAAATGAAACTGTCATCTTGGTACTTGATTACAGTATCTTCTTATATATAAAGACTTAGAGTTCATAACATCACAATGTGGTAATAAAATATTAGATGCAATATGTACCTTGTTCTGTATATTTCCGTCTTTTCAATGGTTCATCAGATTTGGGTTTTTCTTCATTTAGTTTGGGTAGACAGAAAGTTGCAGCACCAGGGTCAATGAATGTACTGGTGACTGATGAATGTTTGATTGCCCAGATAACCTCACAACCTTCTATCTCACATCTGTGAAATCATGTACAATAATGTTTATTTTAAGTTGGCAAGGTTAAAAATACAGTTGAATATACATGTATGTACTCAATGTTTAAAACAACACATGTACTCAATGTTAAAAACAACAATGTTAACACACTAATACTATTGTAATTAATTGAGTCTTCATGCTGATTCATAAAATACTGAAATCTACATGTGATGTATAATGCTAAACATTATCAAATTGCCTTTAAAAAATATTTATATCATTCAGTAGTACATTATTACATTACACTTACACAAGCTCAGTTGCTATTCCACCATTACCCACTACAACTATCCGCCGTGCTTGTTTTAAACGCTTCTGAAAATCCTACAAAGATAATACAAACTGATATCAAAATAAGATATCTTTACAACTTGTTTGATTTCTTCTTAAAGCTCAGCTAGTGTTATTAAAGGTATATGGACCTTTGAGAAAAAAAATCAGGGGAAAGAATTTTAACTGATGTCCATTTGCTCTTCACTGCCAATCCCCAGAGCAAAAATTTAAGAAACTGACGGTGGTCAACAGGGAAATTATCAATATAAGACAAATACTGATACCAGGAACTTTTTGCTTAAAATTGACATAATTAAAAATATCCTTAAACAAAACAAACACTGCTCTTTAGAAGATAAATCTGCTATTGAATTATCTATGTCACCAGTATAAAGTCAGTTCAGCCTGCACATTCATGCAGTAAGTCAATTTCCTATCAGCTTCTCATACTATTTTGATATTGAAAAGTCTAAAAGTGAATTCTGAAGTGGATTAGTCTACAATGAGTACATTTTCCAAAACTATTTCAAATACACTGTATTGATAAAACGATAAAAAATTATTTTTTGAAAATTCTTTTAAAATATTTCTAAAAAACAAAATGTTGATATGAGTTCTAAAGTGATTTAGTATGAACATTTATATGTTGAATAATAATATTTTGTTCTAGAACATTTTATCATTACTATCAACACTTACCAACAACATCTATCTTATATATAATTCTTTAATGGTTTACTTTCACATAAGACAAGATAATTATTTATGATCTTTTATTATGGACCAACTCACTTAATAAAAAGTGGAAAATTCCCAACTCAAAGCATAGCAAATTCATAGTACAAATTCAGCATAGTGCAGATATATCCTATGCATAATATCTACTCCACAGTTTGTTGACCAAACATTGAATTTCCCATTGCTGAAGCATTGTTGAACACTTAAACTATTGTTTTGAACTAGTCACACCAATTCCGACTACATTGACACCATTCAAGTATTAACATCACATGACAAAACTGACACTATGATCTACATTAATACCAACTGTGTTGTTCAAGTCGATAAAAAAGAAAATGAGCCACGTCATGACAAAACCAACATAATGGGTTTGCGACCAGCATGGATCCAGACCAGCCTGCGCATCTGCGCAGTCTGATCAGGATCCATGCTTTTCGTTTACCAAACCTATTACAAGTAGAGAAACTGATAGCGAACAGCATGGATCCTGATCAGACTGCGTGGATGCGCAGGCTGGTCTGGATCCATGCTGGTTGCAAACCCATTATGTTGGTTTTGTCGTGACGCGGCTCAAATGTAAAAACAAACCTGGACACTCTCTGTATCTCTTATGCCCAACACATGGTCATTATCTTTACATATCACCTGAAATAAAACAGAATATCAAAGATAACATGGCAATGGTCCGAACATATTGTGAAATCTTCAATGATTTCTTTACCAGACTGAACGATGGAGAAATCAATTTAAGATACAGGAATTTAGGTGTGAGGAGAGTTAAGTGGATATACATGTATCTTTAATCTAGATGTGTATTTTGTCAAATCAATATACAATATAATATGTAAATGGATTTCTTTATTTTTTACAGATATTTAAACAAAATTATCACAAAAATTAGAACCCAGCAATGGAAAACTTTAATGTAGGGACAAGTCAATCAGAGCAAGTAGGTATGACTAACTAGCCTAAAAGGCAGCAATATATAAATTTATAACTCACCTTGGGTTTACCACCTGTACATATACACAATAAACCATACTGGATCACTGTCCCGTCATCCATAGTCAATGCCTGTAATTATATAAATCAAACTGTTGACTGTTAGTAGAGATGATGATAATGCAATGCCACCAGTAGAGAGCCAGACAAGACTGTGCATACAAATGTCTATACCAGCTATACTGTAAGCTTCTTAAAGATCTTGTATGTTGTTATTAAGGTGGTTACCACACTTAAGTGAAATTGTGTATATGTATATAATTATGCTTATAAAACAATTTTCAAACATCGAAGAATATGTAAAATATGTACTGCAAATATTTGTCCACATTATGTATGTGTAATCATTAAAATATATGCATTCATATCCTATTGAAAAATTTATATCTTATCAAAAAATTTGACTTAGACTTTATAGAAAATAAATTTCTAATCACCTCCCTTTATTAACATGAAATGTAAATTCGGCAATATCTTTACAAATTATGCCTTTTGGAACTTACAATATTGATAAATCTTCATTTGAGCATTATATTTATGATATAAAATCATAAAAAAAAATTGAGTTACTGGATCTTTAAGCTTAGTGTTTTGAGATAAAATAAAAAAATATCCTTAAGATCAAAACTTGACAATTTAAAAAGTGAAAATCCATTAAACTAATCAGACAGTTGAAATATATCAAATAATATTCAAATACTATTACCTTAATGTAATCATATTAATTTCTGAAGAAAAATTTACATAGTGTACCAGTAATACATGTTCATGTATATAAATAAATACCCAGAAAACACGTGTGTTTTACACAATAATAATTTATGCACTTCAACTACATGTACATATAAATATGGTATATCCAAATACATCAAAAGTAAATTTGTGATTTAACAACACATAGTGACTGAATTTAAAATGAAATGTAAACATACATGTATGATAAAGACTGGCTGAATGTACATTGTATATTCTTAAAAGTGAATTTTCTTTCTGAAGTTTTCTTCTGTATTTGACAACCAAATGTATAAATTTTTCTCACATGTTTAACTGTATCAAGTGTTTTCATCATTTTGTGTATAACCTTGACATTAGGGCATCCTGTTTCCATTGATGACATAGGTCTTTCCTCAACATCAAATTGTTCTAATGTGCGTGACACCTGTAAATAAATATACCACCTGGTTTCAAGAGAACACCTGGAACTAATTGACCTAAGCTAGTGATTTGACGATGACATGAGCTTAATAATGACACAATTATAAAAAATGACCATTATGATTTTACTACTTCATAACGTTTTCTTCCTTAAAACTTTGAATAATTCTCATGGTCAAATTGATACAGTTCTTATGTTGTACAGTACATTGCATATACTATAGAAATAGATTTATCTGGATTTACCTGTTGATAGTTTGTGACAGCTTTGATGAGTTTGGAGGCAGTAATTAAAACTATCTGTTCCTCTGGACATAATGATGATAGCTGAAAGTTGAAAATAGTTCAACAAAGTAACAATCAACAACTGCATAATATATTTGTTGATGAAAGTGTATAGATTATATCAATAAACTAAAACATTTAAATTTAACATAAATTTAACGTAATGACTTTAAATATTCATACCTTAGTTACTTATAGGTAGACTAGTATAAATTAATTCATATGGCTACATTCATTTTCTTATAGATTAAAAATGATAGATCTAATTAATGATAATGATTATATTGCAATATAATTATCAAAATAATAATATTATAATAATAAAATTATAATATACACTTTTTAAAGAAACATTAATACATTTACATGTAGTTTACTGCAGTATAACAGAATTTATTTTATTTTGATTGTCTAGGAAGCTTTAACCCTTTCACTGCCATAGGGACGGCTTAAGCCATCCCTGTTGTTTTTGGCGTATTTGCCATATTTTCGGCGTATTTGCCATATGGACGGCTTTAGCCGTTTCTATAAAAATCATAATGATAATAATAAATTAATAATAATAATAAAAATAATAATAAATATAAAGAAAATTATACCATCGACAATAATTATTATTATACTAGCATATTTGGAAACATATATAATTATTATAATACTAATAACAAATAATAATAATAATTATATTAATTAATAATATAGTAATTTCTTAATTTATACTTCTATATTAAATAGGCCTACAAAATATTAAAAATACATGTATTCATGGTTTGTTATTGTTAATATTTTTTGCCAAAAAAGAATCATAAAACAGCATCATAATTATTACAGTAAATCTATGTTTAAATTTAACATTACATCATTTTCCTATGTAAACTGATGCTGAACAGCTGAAACTTAAGAGCTAAATTTTTCAGGTCAGATGATCTATTTTTAATAACATAACACAGACATATAACAATAATTATTCTGTGATTTCTTACAGTTTCTGCACATGTCACGCCAGCTATTCCACCTCCGATGACGGCAAACTTATATGACATTTTGTTAAATTATAACATGCACTACTGATCCAAATTTGGCGAGGTTTTATTTACATCGACACCGAATTTTCACTCCCGTGTATCTGCGCGTCTAAAATCTTAATGCAGGCGCTCCAGTGTCAGATAAGATCACTACGAAGATCACTTAAACACATTGTTTTATAATAGTGTCTTGATAAAATAGATGTCAAAATAAGGGAAATATATATTCCTTTAGGTATAAAATCGCGCTGTTATTGCTTCATTTTATTTTTAGCGATTTTTTTGTAGATTTCACGGCACTCAAATATAACGACACCGGTTGATTGTCAAAAAATAAAAATAGAAGCGAAACAAGAAATTTGACAAGAGATACGAGTCTTATGGGTAATCGATAGGGCCAAGCAATGGAATCACCTCTTAATTTGGTATGAAAGTCTATCAGGAAGTTGTATTGCCATTTTGATGAACAAATTTTAAAGCCTTATTACCTGTTTTAGTCTGATAGTGGCTGTCATTGTCAAATAATGTATACTCAGTTCCTATGATATCAAGGGTTCTATGATATCAAGGTATTTAAATTTTCTGTGACTGCTAGTAAAAGCAACATATGATGATGCTCATATTTGTAAAACTTGCATACTAGATTCATTTTCATCTGCCAATAAATTTAATTTGGTGAATAATGAATGTATTTGGGGCAAGAATACTATTTTATAAAACCTTCATATTTGACTACCATTTTCCTTAGTGATTTTTACACAGTCAATTAAAATATGTTATAAATACATATACTAACATATAGTCTGTTCATATAGTTTTAATTTTATAGCAAGTTAACTGATGGAAGTTTTTCACAACTAAACTTGAAAGTTTTGACCCATCAATCCTTCCATACTTGCTTTTTTTGGGGATTACCTTGATACCGTAGTAACCTCCTCTGAAATGACCCAAAATGGTAGGCATTGAAAATATTCTAAATAATGTCATTTTTATTGGTTCTTTTGACATAATTTTTTGAGAAATAGTTCTGGAAAAGGTTCATTTATAAGATGGGAGAAAAATCTCATTCATTTATGATATTTATATTTAAATATTTTCCGATAAACGTTAAGTACCTTGATATCATAGAACCCCAGGCTAGCTCTTTGTCATACATTTTATTAGTCCCATTTCAATAACCATTTGTATGAGGTTTGGTATCTTTTTGTCATCAATTAAGAGCTACTTATCAAATGCCTCCACTTTGGCCGAGTTGCTATCCCAATAGATTATAGAAGTATATGTGACACTGACTAGCCCAACAAATTGTGCTTTTTAGCTAGGGCTTATAATATAGACGATGGTTGCCCTTCGCTAAAGTCTGTGTAATATCATTTTGTAAAGTCGGTCGGTCTTGCAGTTGAAATATTGAGACTTGTGTGACACAGTGATCCCTCTTCCGAGCATCACGCCATGGCCATCCCCTGTGTTATAGTTATTAGGTTAATTATTCACAGCGAATCAGGGTCAGCTCGGCCCTAAAACATACTCGGCCCCCGAGTCAGCTTGGCCCTATTCCAACTCGGATAAGGTCAACTCGGCCCTTTATTATATATTACTGGTAATGATTACTTTTATTGACGAAAGTACCAATTAGTATATGAATTTGTAGGGAAAGGAAGAATTTACAATTTATATGCATGTTTTGTCTAACTTAAGATGTTTTTAGTAAAAAATATCATTAAAACAGCAATTTGGTCATATTAAAGAACAAACAGTGTTAAATACAATACCATTTATTGCCATCAAAATGCAATCCAAAAACTTTATTTATGGATCAATATTTATTAACATATATTGTATTGATATCTCTTCTTAACAAAGATAAATTCAATCAATACATACATGTACATGTAAACTGCCAACCTTTTCAATTTCTGTTTGTAAGTGATCGTACTTCTGAATACTTTTATAGTAATTTACTCCTTAAATTTTATATCAACTAAACGATCTATATCCTAATATAAGTTTTTAATGGAGGTCCGAGTTGACCTGTGCCGAGTTGACCCATGCGGAGTTGGTATAGGGCCGAGTTGACCCTTTACCATTCACAGCAATCACAGATCTATCAATTAAAGCATTACTGTTTAAATGCAGTAATAAAGAATTATGTTAATAAATTTTTATACATAAGGTTAAGACTATGTAAATGTAAAAGGACTATTAAAATTTTATGCCAGTTGGCTTATACATGTATTTCTCTAGTTAATGTACTAAATGGCTTTTTCCTTAGAAATTGAGAAGAAGCCTTAAGTAGCCTTTCACGCCAATTATAAGGCAAACTAGAAAAAAGTGAGTTTTGTGTAATTGGGAAGCCACTCATTGTAGCAGCCTAATTATAAAAGGAATACAAATAACTCTGCAGTATTTCTTATGGACAAATTGATTTTTAAATTTACAATAATTAACAAGGCAAATTGGCTATAGACTGAAAGTCTGGCTTTTTATGCCCCACTTACAAAGTGGGAGCATACTTTATTGGGGTCGGTGCATTTGTAAGTCTCTTCATTGTATGACAAATAACTAGAGAAAACCACCAAAAGGCTGTCTAGCAAATAACAAAAGAATGTTTAGATTTAGTGTACAGGCTGGTAATGACCCCTATTGATTTTGAGTACATATGTTAAGGCCACCATGCTCTTGACCACTAAAACCTTTTCTGGCTTATAATTAGAGAACACTTTGGCCTACATTACTAAGATTGGTTGGTGATTATACTGATAGTACATGAGTCAAGGCATGACCAAAATATTTTTTTTGGTAAAAGGTTGGAAGTCAAGTTAATCAATATTTGGCCCCACTAATCATTACCTTGATCCCACTAAAAGCTTGTCAGAACAATATTTAGGGAATATTTTGGCCTACAGACCACAGATTTTGGGTAGTGGTTGGCCATAACTAGTTGATGATCTCTATTGACTGAGGGCCATAGGTCAAGGTCACCATGACTCAGACTACAGTCCAAAGATTTGGTATGGATTTTGGCTGTGAATACTATAGTAGATGACCCCTATTGACTTTAAGGTCATTAGGCCATTGTAGCCTTGACCACTACTGGCACTAGAATCTTGTTCAACCAATAACTAGAGAAGGTTTTGGCCTACAGGCTTATGTTTTGGTTGACAATGACTAGAAGTATGCCCTTTTGATTTGAGGTCATTAGTCAAAAGGTCAAGGTCACTGTTGCCTTGTCCACTAAAAGCTTGTCCACTAATAACTAGAGATAATTTTGACCTATAGCCCTTAGATTTGTTCTGGAGGTTGGTCATTACTATAAGATGGCCCCTGTTGATTTAGAGGTTAAGATAATTGAGGTCAAGGTCAGAGAGACTCATGAAATATTTGTCAACCCTTAGAATCATGAAATACTCATTAATGACATTCACATATATATTCTAGGCAAGAGCTATAAAGCTTGTCTTGCAAAATGACAATAATTAACCATGCCTTTTTCATTATTAAAGACATAAGTTTTCAAAGACCTATTAAGTATATTCTACAGAGAATAAGTACTAGTAGTCAATTTCAGTTTCAAAGTGACAGTTTTGCTCAATGCTTTTTTACTGATTTTACAATTCTTAAGACTTGTGATATAAAAATGATTGAAATCCTTGAAATTTTCTGTTCCAAAATGTAAATTATATACATGATATAAGATATTTATGATTTGAGATGTGAAAGGAATGCTAAAATGTATCAGTACAATTTTAAGTTTCCTCTAAGTTTTGAGAATAATATTCAAACATGTTATGAAAAATAAGTTTAGATATGTCATTTATTTTCAGGCTCACCAGCAAGGTAGGAAGGCAGACATGTTGTTAAAGTCAGGAAAATATGAAGAAGCTATCACCTGCCATAATAGAGCTGCAGGTTTGGTCATTGCTTTGTTTATTATTAGTGTGTGAAATATCCTTTATTCATGATTTATTGATGGAAAGAAAAAGTTTAAAATTCCACATACATTGAAATACCTTCACAGTAAAATTATGATACAATTTTTAAGCTCAGTTGTGTGGACAAGTCACATACATGTATCATGACCCTCTGGTTGGAGTTTACTTTGAAACTTAAAGAGTTATTTACTATAAATAGATATGCTGTTTTATATAATTGATCCTGTCTTGTCTATACAGTTCTTATTTCTATGTTTGGCGTACCCAATTTTTTTTCCAAAATTTAAAGCGCACTATATTACGCTTGCATGATTTCTAGATGATTTGCTTCATAGAATTTATAGGCTGTAAGTTTACAGTATCATATTCTTAACCTTACTACATGTGTATTTCTGATAATAGAAAAGAAGGTTTAGTGAAGAATAATTATAACCTGTTATTTATTTCCCTTCAGAATATTTGTTAGAAGCGATGCAGCAGACAAGGTATACCCCTGCTCTAGAGTCTCTCCAGTTACAACATGCTCATCACCTCAAACAGACGGACAAACTGTATGACAGACAGAGGCGTGCTCATATGCTACAGATCAAACAGAACAAATTACAGCACTGTCATCAATCTACACAAACTTACATTCAGGTTTGTTTGATTGGTTGGTTGTTTTTTTTTTCACAGCAATTTTAACACATTTTGGTCATATCTCTATTTTATTGAATTCTTGAAAACTTCAAAAATTTAAAAAGAAGGTGTTTTTTTGTTTGTTTGATTTTTTTTTCTACATGTACTTAATTATAGAAGTTATATGACTAGAGATAAAAAAGTCATGATATTAATATAATGTTAACAAGACATTATTATTATAGAAATAGACTTTGAACTGAGCTCTGTAATGTACTATAATATAATAATAATAATATTACACAAAATGGAAAATTATTTCTTTTTGGATTTCCATTTTGGTGGATCCTGGAAGGACAGGGTGTCATGCCAAGGTCTGTTTGTCATACATTTTCATAAAACTTGTTCAATTAATGAAAGAAGTTTGTAGCTATTGCTTTACAGATTTTGTTATCAATACCAATGTGTAAAATAAAAACTTATCCATCTTAGTTATTTGAAATTACGACTGATTTGAACAGATTTTCTTGGTTTATTGCTCTATTGAAGTAATGAAATTACATGTACCGTATGTCATATTTTGAAATTAAGGAATAGTTGATTTGAACTAGTATGATACAAGAGATCATAGAGATGTTGCATCTTTCATTATCACTAATTAAATTTTTTATCTCTAATTTAAACAGACTCAGTCATAACAAGCAGTTTTCACCTCATCATTTTTGTTTTCACTTTCATGTGATTTACCAGAATTTTTAAATTCACAACAACAGGTCTGAAGGTCTGTAAATTCAATTACTGACATCTGTTAATGTTGAACATTGAATCCTTCCATCTTTCCATCAATTATGTTTGCAACTTTTACCTTTAAATTATTGTTTTTTACCAGAACCATATACAATAAAAATGAATATTGTTTTATTCTATAGGGACCAGTGGTACCAGCAGGTTCAGAAACATCTAGCACATTCCAGCATACTCCACCTGGAACCAGTCCACAGCATTTGGGTGAAATGCATTCTGGGATGGAAAATCCATCTCCACTTGAAGAGGATTCTATTTATAGAACACTAACTGCTCAAGATTCTTTAATTGGGTTATTGTTAAGACGAAAACAAAATCTTGGTGACAATAATACCTCGTTCCATTCAGGTGTTCCAGTGGAGAGAGTTTTCTATTCCAAATCAAAGGAGGCCCGGCAGAATAACAAGTCTGAAAAGGAGACAGAAGATCTAAGATTTCATAACGAAGACTTAAGGCAACATGTTCAGCAGTTACTAAAAGAGGTAGAAGATGTCAAGAAAGAAAATAAACTGTTAAAAGAAAAGGTAGAAGGAACACAGCCGATCTTCAGCGATGTTGGAGATTGCGAATTACATCTCATTCCTGATTTACCTCCCCTGGAAATGCCTCAGTTTGACCTTGACCTTCTGGAACAAGAAAACAAGAAAAAGCCAGATGAGTCAGAAGCTGATGTTTTTGGGATGTCACCTTTGTAATGGTTTTTCTCTTAAATGAGCATGTACCAGTACTTCATGTCATTTGTCCAGTTGTGAAGCTATTTGCCCTATAATTTCAATCTGCAGCTAACATTTACAAAGCTCTAAACCAGGATTTTGGTTTAACAACATGTCATCACTGTGTGTTCTTTACAAAATCATGTGCTTGGGGTCTTTAATAGGTTATTGGATTTCAGACTTAGTGATTACATGTAAGTCAGCAATAAAATAGCTAAAAGTCTAAATACTAAATTAGAACATGCTTATCAAATCAGCTGATGTGCTGCCATGGGAAAAATAAACATTGATATTATGTTTTTATAATTGAAATATCACTATAATGTTTCATGACTATACTTATATGATGATTAGCTGCATTTATAAATAAGTTTATTCCCCATACCTTTAAATTCATATTTGTGAATAGAATTTTGTTCATCATATTAATATTTAAGAATGAGACTAGAGACTTTACCATTTGGTGGGTGAATTTTTGAAGATTTATTTTCTGCTCACCTAAGCACAAGGTTCTCAGAAATAAGCTTTTTTGGTGGCAAGATGCTTAAGAAAGTAGCGCTGAATGTAAAATTATTAATATTTGTCGTAAATGTAGCAAAATGTAAACAAAGTAGTATTTTGACTTTCATACATAATACTTAATCACTAAAGCTGAGGTAAAATAATGCTGAAAGTAGTACAATGTATAATGAATGTAAGTTCTTTTGTAGTTTATGTCTCTATATGATTGTTAGATAAAGATGATTATTTTAAAGGCATGTTAAGCCGCAGAAAAACATAAAAATTTTCTTTGAAGTGAAGGCAAACTTGTTTTTTACAATATTTTATTAATGGACTTAAGGCATAGCAGATGCTTATTATTGAAGAAAGCGATGTGTAAGGGAAAAAAATGTCATAGATACATACAAGAAGCAAAATGTAAATAAAATTGAGTTCTGTCTCCTAAGCAAATTACAAACTTTATTTATGGCCAAAAAGCAAGATATAAACTATATGGCTGATAAGTATTGCATCATTAACTATAATAGAACATAAAAAAATGAACCACTTTTTTGAAATGAAAATTATAGCATTTGTGGGGCTAAACAATCCCCAGTGGCTGCATGGTCGAGTGGTTAACGCTTAGGATAAGTTTTCTGAAGATCACTTAAAAAGCTGCATGGGTTCAAACCCTGTCAGGGGCAAATCGTTGTTTCCTTGAGCAAGAAACTTTACACTCATTGCTTAGTACTGGTCTGTTCTAGGAACAAATTTGAAAGTGTGTTTATAAGCTTATAGCTTCCTACACAAGCCAACTAAAATAAATTCTTATAAACCAAACAATCCTATTATGTTTCATGTATTTTGTTTTTCAATCTAAGGTAATTCATGATTTATATGTGATATATTGAGAGGACCAATGTTTTATTCATGTTGAATTTTATTTTTGATTCCAGACAATGAATATGGCAATAATTGAATATTGACTTTATTGTTTAAAGTTATATATGTATATAAGTCATCTATTTTAGTCTTTCCAGCATCATTGTGAATGTTTTAATGTTAAAATCAGTATGAATTTCATGCTGTATTCTATTACAGTATATAAAAATGTTTATAAATATAAAATAGAGTGTCTTGTTTATCTTTATTAATAATGTGTACTAAGCAAATGCCCATCCTGTGTGTCCTTGACATTCCAGAGTAAAGGCAGTCTTAGTAGAAAAGTTGTAAAATCATTGACTTCTTGGTTACCGAAAAATATTGACTGTGACTTATAACCCATAGTCACAGTTTGTCATACAACAAAATACAGTCAAATCTCAGTAGAGCAAAACCTGTCATGGGACAAAACTTTCATTTGTTGCAGAGAGATGTTGCTCCGAGATTGAATTTATTTAATTGTCAAGTCTTCTTCGTGAAGCATTGTTACTATTAGTTCAAAGAAGTTATTTTACTATGGAGGGTGAATATCATTCAGCATAGGACTGTATAGTAGCAGTAAGGTAAAACCTTTAAGAAATTAGTGACAAGAGGTAAGACCTTTAAGAAATTTGTGACAAGAGGCTGGGTTACTATATACATGCATTAATTTTTACCCCAAACTTTACTTTTGATGATCAAAAACTATAATTTATGAAGGTTTGAAGCTCCCATCATTGCTAATATATGATAAAATAATGATCTGTTTTGCTTCTTGACTGGCACAGAGACATAGATAACAGAGATAGGCTACTTCCTAGCCAGTTAAAATATCACGCGTGCCTACTAAACTTAAAACTTGTAGCAAGTAAAACTTATTAACCAGATATCAAAATCAGTAAAATAATACATTTTCTGAAAGCTTATGCATTTATCTATGGCTGCAGGTAAAAATATTTACAGTTCCCATTTAAATAAATGTTGTATCATTTTTTAAAGAGAACTACTTAATATTTTTTTGTTACAAAATTGTTCATATGACAAAAAACTGGCTCAATGGGTATGTTCTGCCATGTTTTTCTAAATGAAAGGCATGGAAAGTTACCAATATTTTAACATGCAGCCATAGATGAAAGATTTACCTTTCAAATGGTATATAATATTAAAGGATCAAATGTACATTCATTAAGTTTTATTTGCTACCAAATGCCTAATTTTCCACTTTTTTTTAGGCATGAGTGATATTTCAATGGAGTATATAGGAGCTGCTTATCTCTGTTATCTATGTCTCTGACTGGCAAGGCCACTGAAACTTTTAACCAAAAGATCCATAATATTGACTCCACTTTTTTGAAAAAAAATAAGTAGAGGTATTTTTCTAACCCACTTATTGGTGTTTGCGTTGGTTAACCTTGTGTCATTAACTTGAATAATAACAATGGTATAACATTTAAACTTCCTATGGAGATACATCTTGATCAGTTCTACTTGTTACACAGATTTTGAGGTCAAAGGTAACTGTGACTAATAATAAGGTAAAATTTAATGTTAGGATCCATTCCACGACAAGTTATGTCATGGAGTATCACAAGGACAGATAATCTAAAAGTTATATTTGGCAAAGTTATGCCCCTTTTGACATTTTTTTACATTTTTTTTTTGCACTATGATTAATTTCTCAAAAAAATATCAAAGATATTCTCTTTAAACCACGGATTTATATTATTATAATATAAATGCGCGTTTAAACTTAGAATACCTATGGACTATAATTTTTGTAATGCATATCTTAAAAGGCAGATAACAGAAAGACATTCTTGCTAATCAAAAACCTTTCAAACTTGGAAAAAGGGGGGGGGGGGGGGGAATTGCCAAACATTTTATCAGAATTATGCCCTCCAGTTAAGTTTTTAACAAGTCATTGTACTGTTAACGCAATAATTTGCTTTAAGTTAAGAATACTTCAGTGAACGCACTTAATCATTTTACGCAGTACAGCTTCAATACAGTGTAACAATGACAGCATGGCCCGATTCGGATCAGTTGCGTTTCGTGTCCCAGGCCATGACTGTCATTCAACGGGTAGTTGTCGCTGAATATGGATGTGACAGTTCTCGCTACAAGTGCCCTGGCATTTGTACTGTATTTAAACACTTTAGATGCAGATTTTGCCTATGATGACAGGTAAGATTTTATAATTTATTTCAAAGTTATTTCATAAACAAAAATCCTATTTTAGACAAGTGGTCGAGCAAGTTTCAATAGTTACTGAACCGTAACGCTCTGCACATTATTTTATGCTAATATTGTTATTTTCTGCATAGAAAATTAACAAAACGAACTGATATAAATAAATTTATTTACTACTAGACATAAGATACAATTCTTTATACTTTAAACATGTTGTGAAATGAAAATAACACCTGTGTTTGCAATGTAAACAAACATCCATGTATGTTTAATTTGAATAAATTCGGATATGCACGATATTCGGATAATTCAATGCATGTTCAAAGAATGTATATAGATGAACATTAATTATGCTTCCCTATGCTTGAATTGTTTGAAATGATTTTATATAAGTAAAATTTTGTTGAATAATATTATCAGAGTTTAACAATTATGATAGATCTTGAGATATTTTATGATCCAACAATTGGTGAGATTAAGAATTAGCTGTGAATAATTTGATGAAATGAATACTAAGTCTAAATACACTTAAAGCAATATTTAGATTTTGTTTTGGTTAAATTTGAATGTTAAGCTGACCGCATATTTCAATAAATAATAATAAGCTGCTTTAAAAGCCACTTGCATCCAGATTGAAGCATTATTATAAGTAACACATTAGCTGATATGAATAGAAAAAATAATTTATTCAGCATGGTCACAAGTCACAATAGTGTTTTGGAAAAACTGGGATTGATGTGACGCCCATTTTCTGGGATTGTATATTTCAATTTTAGACTTGTTATTGAAAATATAGTGTAGTACTAGTATACTATAGCTCTTATAATAATTATATTTCAAGCTATGTATTATATATTAGATATATATACTGGTCATTTCTTATAATAATGAAAATAAATTTCACGACATAATATGACTGAAAAATATATTTTTGAGATATGTGTACAGTTTCATTTGGGTCTGAACCAATAACTTATGTGCAAAACTTCAGATCATTCGCTTATAAATTATACTCCATTTGTTTAGAATAATCATTTTTATTGTGCAAAATGACCTAAAAAGAGAAAAGCTTTTATAATAAAGCTGTTATATATATTCAAATCAGGCTAAGAATCATGCAAAAATAATAAAGAAAAAATTATGTTTAATTGTGAGTATAATAATTATTTCTTATTATCTTGAATTAATGTTGGCATGTCTTTCTGATTTATATGTCCCATCTATGTAAGAGGTTCAAATTTTGTGATTTTAAGCTTTTGGACCTGACAGTGGAGTTCCTTAAAATGATGAGCATTGTATTATTGATCATATTTTCATGTGTAATGTTTTAGATATGATTTTTCTCAATGATCAGATATATAACAAGAAGTTTTTAAAATTTGTAACAATTATTCCTGACACTTTTTTTAGAATAATATTTTAAATGCTACTCAGAGGATAAATTCCTTTTATGTCATTTTCCTGAATGTTAGATGAAATTAAAGTTTTTTTCTTCTAATTTTTGACTTTCAAATTTATCTATTAATTGGAATATCAATTTATTACTAACTTGCAAGTTGAATAAAAGCTGAAGCACATACATATTTACTGCTGTAGAAAGATGCAGTCAGCCAATGCATCTGAAAAATTCCTTATTTGGCTTTTATTCACAATTTTGACTTCAAGCTAAATTGCTTATAATGAACAAAGAAAAATGTTCTTGTTTATACAAATTTATCTTTATCTGTTGGAAACTATAAGCTTATATTATGGCAGAGCTGTTTCTGGAACCAACCAGTACTAAGCAATGATTGTAAAGTTTCTTGCTCAAGACACATTCCTATTTAATACTGTTAAACTGGAAAATGGCATAACCAACAAAATATTTCTTTAATATTATATTGTCTTAAGTGGGGAATTAGAAAATAAAACCTTTCCACTTTTAATACTAGATTGCTTTATTGATAGGGAGAGCATCGTATTTGTAATGCAGGAGTAAATGCTGGTTTGATCCAAGGGCAAGGCGAAATTTCACTTTATCTAATGATCTCTGACATTGAGTGTTAGATGGTCAGTCATGTGGGTTTAAGTTGTCAGTCACTTACATAGAAATTAGGATTCTTTCATGTGAGGAAGCTATCCAGCTAGCTTACAGAACATCGAAGGTTTTACTCAGGTGCCTGTTTGTGCCTGAAATAATGCACGAAGGGCACCTGACGTCTTCCTCCACCAGTCAAGCTGGAACGTCGCCATATGACCTATAATGTGTCTGTGTGGCGTAAAACCCAATTAAACAAACAAACAAACATAGAAATTAGGAATTACTAACGGTCAGTGAAAATATGTGGCATTTTATCATGTTGAGTGAAAATATATACCATATTATACGAAAAATGAAAAAATAACCTTTTTATTTAATTTCATTATCAAAGAAAAATGGTAACAAACCCCCTTGCTTGCTACTGCCTGCAATTGTACAGCGCGCAGTAATGTAATTATTCTTTTGTTTTGCACGCGATATTTAGCACTACATTGTGACATCATGTAAACAACTCTTTAAACGTCTGTACAGTGTTAATGACTGAATTAAAAATATTGGTGTTTGGATTTATTTTCTTAGTTAGACAATTTTCTATCATTCTAGATAGTTTTCAAAACAAAATTCAACAAAAGTTGTTTTGTATTCATCAGATTTTTCAAACAAAATGGCGAAAGAAGTCCCTTAAACAAAATAAATATGAGTTTTGACTCCGCCCACTTTCATATTTATATCTCATATTTATTTTTAACAAATATGAAATATGATTGACTGATATATCACCATATTTCATGGGTAAAATTAAATAAATGTATATATACAATAATCAATATGAATATGTAAATTATAAGCTTGTGACTTAATTTATCAGAAATAGTAAAAATTAAGCTATAAAAGGTGTATTTTAAGTTACTAAAAAATTTATAATTAAGGTTTCAGAAATTTATAAGAATAAATAAATTGTCATATAAGAGATCATATTAATGCATGTTAAAAAAAAAACAACAACATTATTTTTCTCCATTCCAGTCATAATTCTGGTGATACATACATTGTAATTACAGAAATTGTCAGACTTTTAAATGTGAATCCTTGGATAACTAAAAAAGTGAACAAAAATGTCATATTTGCAGTTTTAAAATTAATAGGTTGGCTTGCTTTTATATAAATGGGTGTATGCATACAGTCAAAATTTTGTTTACATGACTGATTATGCATTTACTCAAACAGTAATTTCAAGCGTTTCTAGATGAAAGTTGATAAACATGTTAATTTATGGCAATGTTAAAATTATAAATGCATGCTTAATTTGCATGCACATTTGCTTAAACAGCTGATGTTTTTCATATTTGGGGTAGGATGATAACTTGCATGGTCTTCCTTTTGATTGAATTAGGGGTCAGTTGAGTCAATGCTAAAATAAATTTTTACACTTTATTGATGATATTTTTCATATTTAGAAGGAACATACCTTGGATGGTCCAGTGTTTTGAGTCACAAGGTTAAGGCCACCTGTGCTAACAATAGATTTTTACATTTTTTCTTAAACAGCCTTTGTTGTTGTAACCAATGTCTTATATTTAGATGGAACATACTTCAGTTGGTCCTTTAAGTTTGTCTGGAGTTTGGGGTCACTGGGTTTAAGATCAAGGTTTTGCATTTATATATATTTTATAATTATTTTATTTGTATGTTGAATTATTTTTAATTTCATGAAATAGCCATGACAATTGCCAGCTTATATTTTTCACAAGAACAAAATGTCATGACTCTTTCAAATGTATACAATATTATTTTGGCAATTTTCCTGTCCCTAAGTGAGTGGTTTGAAAAATTGTTACTGACAAGAATCATTTGTGTTTACCAAACACATTCTTGTTTTTGTTATTGTGCCCTCACTATAGGGGGGCATTTAGATTTACCCTTGTCCGTCCGTCCATTAATCCATCGGTCTGTTCCCTTTTTGTGTCGCACGTAGCTCAAAAAGTAATTGACCTAGAGTCATAAAACCTTACAGGAATGTTGATCAGCATGTGAAGTTGTGCACCTGGGTATTTTCAACTGGATATATTTAGCATTTTTAGAGTTATTGCCCTTGAATTAGTAAAATTTCCAATTTTCAACTTGTGTCGCACATATCTAAAAAAGTGTTTGACCTAGAGTCATGAAACCTTACTGGAATGTTGCTCAGCATGTGTAGTTGTGCACCTTGGTATTTTCGGCGGATATTTTTAGTATTTTTAGAGTTATTGCCTTTGACTTAGTAAAAATTTACAATATTCAACTTGTGTTGCACGTAACTCAAAAAGTATTTGACCTGTAGGCCTGAAAGTTTACAAGAATGTTGGTCAGCATGTGTACTTATGCACCTTGGGGTTTTCTTGTGGATTTATTCAGTATTTGTAGTATTTGCCCTTTACTTAATAAAAGATTTTTAGTTTTCAACTTGGGCACATGTAGCCAAAAAAAAAATTTGACCTAGAGACATAAGATTGACAAATCGGTGGAGTGTGGGGGCACCCGTGTCCTATTGACACATTTCTAGTTGAATATAAAATTCCCAGGATTATTTAGAGAGTTGCCCTGTTTTGTCCAGTGCATCTTTAATTTCTCACTGATGAACATTTTTGGTATCAGTGGCTGCTATGGTTTTATCTTTGTTAATTAGTGCTTGTTTATATACCCATGTAGAAGGGGCCAGAAAGTTTATCTTGAAATTGTTCACTTTTTATCATTGCCTCTCACTAATGGGCTTGTATTAGATTGTTTTGTTTGTAGAAGATTTCAGTACAGTAACAGATTGTTGATTGAAGATTAGTGTTCACTCTTCAGTTAAGTTCAGTTAAGCCGCCGTCCATGCAATCCACATAATGTCCTCAAACTGTTTATGGTTTATTTAATCCTTGAGATAGTGTTTTCCACTTCAAACTATCAGCATGTTTACTTTTCCTTATTTTATGAGACTTGTAAAGGAGCAAAAAAAAACATACCTGATTTATTACAAAGGACTTTACTTGTTTTAGGGACAATGTTTTTGTGAGAAAGTCGGGTTATTTTTTTGTTTCATTTCTGTCAAATTTAGTAGATTTTCCAATTGTAGGCTTTCCAGTGTGATTATGTAAGGCAAATTACAATGTTTCGTTTTGTTAAACAGAGATTTTTAAGTAATTGAAAGGCAGCAAACAAATTTATTACTGTTTTATTTGATAGAAACTCACAGTGACAAAAACTGAAGTAAAATTCTTTGCCTTTCATTTTGTAAAGAACTATACTGCATACATGTGAACTCTTCCACTTTAAGCAGTTCTGCAGCCATTATTTTGATTATTTTCAAAGACTTTTCTTAAAATAAGGGATATTTTCACAAAATAAAGAAATCTTCCTCTTTTTGATGTTAGAACTTTCTTCTTGCAAATTTTAAAATCTCCCTCTTTTTGAAGAAAAATCTCCCACTTGATCATCAGAAAAAATTAACATGTATGATACTGCTGTCCCTTGTTTACCTGAACTATTAAAGTCATAGTACATGACCCTTGTAATGTAATTTCTGGTGATTAAGGAATATTTAATGAAGTAAACCAGGAAAGTAACAATTAACTTAAGGATGTATTCAGTTTGTAAAGGCATTATGACCTTCAGAGAACAACAGTTTTAGCAAGTAAAAGTGTATTGTAGAATGGTTCCAGCAGGCAAGTAGTTAAATAATTAAAAAAATTATTACATCTAGTACCATTCCAGTTCCAAATTGTCAGTTAATTGCAGAAACACAGATTAGTATTGATTAAAAATTCTTGCATATCTCCTATAAATGCTGTGTTAAAATCCTTGCATGTCTCCTATAAATGCCCTGGTTAAAAATCCTTGCATGTCTCCTATAAATGCCCTGGTTAAAAATCCTTGCATATCTCCTATAAATGCCGTGTTAAAAATCCTTGCATGTCTCCTATAAATACCCTGGTTAAAAATCCTTGCATATCTCCTATAAATGCCCTAGTTAAAAATCCTTGCATGTCTCCTATAAATACCCTGGTTAAAAATCCTTGCATATCTGCTATATATGCCCTGGTCAAAAATCCTTGCATGTCCCCTAGAAATGCCCTGGTTGAAAATCCTTGCATATCTCCTATAAATGCCCTGGTTGAAAATCCTTGCATGATCTCCTATAAATGCCCTAGTTAAAAATCCTTGCATATCTCCTATAAATGCCCTGGTTAAAAATCCTTGCATTATCTCCTATAAATGCCCTGGTAATAAAAAATAAAAATCCTTGCATATCTTCTATAAATGCCCTGGCAATATGTGACTGGAATATGGTTAAAGGGATACTGGGGCAAATTAATGACAAAAATATTAAAATGATCTTATGTCCTCAAATCACCCTAAAATGCCATTTCAGAAAGTCCCAACATGAATTTCTGTATATTAAAATTCTGTATTATTTGGGTTTAAAGCATAAATACATCTGTATATATTGAATGAAATTTAGACGCGATAGAATCACCGAGTAGTTCTAAAACAAGTCATGTGACTGAAACAAACCCTGGAAGTTACAATAACAGATATTGTGGATATTGTATGATTGAAACAAGTCTAAGTCATTCATTTGGCATGTTCTTTTACGTTTTCAGGAGTTCACTGTGACAAGTTTTGTGAAATATTCATGCTGTAACCTAAGTTAGGAAACTTGAATTTTATTCTTTAAATGGCGAAAAGTTTCTTTTCTGTGACTGCCTTGTGTATTCATTTTGAGGACATTAATTTTACAGAATAATGAATGAAAAATTCAAAACAAAAAAAATGAAAATTTTGCCTGTGTCTTCCTTTAAAATAAGCATAAACCCAACCTGTTACAAAATGTTAACTTTTAACATAACATAAAGAATTGTATTTTGAAACTTTCTTTTAACATAACATAAAAAATTGTATTTTGAAACTTTCTGCATAAATCATATCTGACAAAGCTGTCGTGAATTTGCAACTTATGATTCATATGTAATTTAAACTTCAGAAGAAATTAAATTTCTCATTAACTTCTGTATTCTATAATATACAGTATATAATATACAGGATATGTCTTGTTTAAATTAAATGCTCTTACTTAGCAAATTTCTTTAAACCACTTGTGTATTAGACATGCATGTTTTACAAATTGACGTAAATTAGGGAGAAGTTTTTATTTCATGTTTTAAACTTTATACGAAATGACGAGGCTCTTTTAACTGTCCATATTTACTTGTTAACCAACCTTAAAGTGCTGTCAAAATTGTCATAACATAAAAAAGCCAAGATAAATTTTGCAGACAAATTAAATGTACATTACGCTGTTTGTGAAGCAGAGAAAAATTTGCTGACTTATAATGGACAGCCGTAACTTTTTAAAAAAAGATATTTAACGATGTGTTTTCAACTCAAAGCACTGGGGTCAAAAGTAGAAGTTTGGCTTATTTTTGGTTTCAACTTAGTTGTTCAAGATTATGTATGATAGTTTCTACCATATTTGGCATTTAAAAAAAATATCAATCCTTATATTGCGAAATAAAAATGAACATGTCTGTCTTTCAAACTCGACATGAACATTCATCATTTTGAAATAGAAATTTCGAAAATGTTCTGACTGAATATCAAGCAGTGTGGACGAGCAGGTTCAGATAGTGCAGATGTACCAGATTGATGATCTTGGTGCATTTGACATGGGTATGGGTAGAATCTTTTGCTGCCACCAGGCTTTGAGTTAATATTAACCTTAGTGTTATCTTAAAATATTGCTTCATACTTATTATAATATTATTTTTTCATGCAGAGTTTAGAAATATTTCAAAATATGTTCAATGTGTTGAAACCGAAAAAAATTATACTGTACATTTAAACAATTAACATTTTAAACCTGTATTGTACAGCCATGTTTTCAGGTTAACAAAGATGTATAATTGTCACGTCATGTCACCATGGTGTCTATCTCTGTTGTTTCCTCTATTTCACTGTATTAAAGCAAACTATAGCACCATTGTTGTCTGGTTTTAAAGTTGTGTGTTTGCAGGCAAGGTGGCTCGCTCCTTTGATCATTACAAACAAACTTGAAGAAAAAGATTGTTGAACTTTTTTTTGTCTGTAATTTGAATATTATGCCAAAGGCAATTTTTCTATGTTTGAATTTTAATTGCAATTATGATAAAGTTTAAGATAAGCATTTTATGTAATTGAAATATTGTTTTTAAAACGCAAGCAGTGTCTTTATTATTTAGTTACAAATTAATGCATATAAAAAAATCAGTTTACTTCACAGATGGATTGAAAGATTTGTTCAGATATAAAGTCTTTCAACCCTAAAAGCTTACTTAGCTAATTTAGCTACAAATTTAAAGTAGGATCCATATTCATTCATAAATCTGACTAGACTTAAAACTCAGTTTACTGCTTGGTTTTGAAGTAAGTTACAAGAAAAGTTTAAAATAAAGGGGGGTGGGGGGTCTGGGATAATCTTTAAATTGTCAGGGTGAAAAGGTTATAACAGGGATATAATTATGTATACATGAGGCTTTCAATGCTCTCTTTAAGAGACAAAACTAAAGTATTTAAAAAATATTGCACACTTTGCGTAATCATTTCAAATAATAATGATTTAGATATTGAATAAGGCTTCTCGATTAAGCATTAGCAGTAAAAGACACAAAACTCTTCTGTTGATATGGCAACCTCTTATAACAGTTTTCTCTGATCTTGTGGTAGAAATTCTGTAAAGTCATTAAAAAAATTTGCTTTCTTGAATTAGTTCAATGTTGAATGAGTGTATATATAGAATCAGACCATGAGCTTATAACATCCATGCAGTCTTATTACACGTAACTATAGTTACAGTTATACACTGTTGGATGACAAACTTTCAAATGTCTTTGTAATATTCCTAAAGTGTTTATGATTTGCGTAACAGATTTGAAGTCAGTTTCTCTACAGATTAATGATAAGAGTATTGCTTTGTTTCTTTTCAGTCGTGCCATTCAGAAGAATCAAGACCTTGAATCAAAAACGCCACTAATAAATATATTCTATGATGACTTTTGGGGGACACCACTCACACATTCCGGTTCACATAAATCATACAGACCTTTATGTGTGCTCTCTTTCCGTATCAACTATTATTTTGGAGAACTCAACCCATGGGGATATCATCTCGGAAATGTTTTGCTACACACGCTAGTTACGGCCATATTTACAAAATTATCAAGGATATTTTTACGGCAAACATTTGCGACGTTAGTATCTGGAATGATTTTCGCTTCACATCCCGTGCACACAGAAGCAGTAGCGGGGGTTGTTGGGCGTGCCGATGTTGGAGCCTGCCTCTTTTTCATTTTAGCTATCATATGCTATATGGAGTATGTCAAGCTACGTGATAGAATACATGACCCGGGTGGTAAACGATCGCTACGGTTTATATATTTCTTCGGAACGTCTGTGTTGACTACAGCAAGCATGTTGACGAAGGAGCAAGGTGTTACTGTCCTAGGTGTATGCGCAGCTTATGATCTCTTTGTTCACAACAAAATGAAGATTTCAGATATTATACAATTTTACAAAAAGGTGAGTAAAATTTTCACCTATTTAATCCATAGACCTTAGCTCTGTCTTTGATGGAGGTAACAATGGTGTCTTTGATCTTCTTTCAAAGTTTTTAATTTCACCAGATGAATGCAACATTGTAATTTATTGCATGTTTGCAACTGTTTAATAAAGTAGTTACTGTTTTGAAGCAAAACTTTTATAAGTACATATCTCATCTTTTTATTACTTTTATTTGTGTAAGATTTGTTTTGAAGTCCTTTCCCTTTAAATTATACAGGAGGCTACATTACTTTATTAAAAATTCTTTACACTTTAAAAGAACATTATTATAGATAGAATAAAGGCATTGTGCAGCATTTTTTGAAAAAAATTACTCTTGCATATTAATCTTCAGAGGGAAATCATGTCTGCATTGTAAATTAGGTTATAATTTGTTAAACAAAATCACAAAGTGTTACAAGGGCTTAAAAGTTTTATCACTAGTACAAGATGTAGGGATTTGTTTCAAGTGCGAATGTAATTTGTGATTTTATGAATTTATGATAGTTTTCGACAAATGCTTAATGTGTGTGTGTGGCTTATAAGATGTTAGATAAAGCCTTGCAAATTAATTTACAACCTTCAGCTGAGCAAATTTGATTAGAACTTGAAATACAAATCAATATTGTAAAGTTGGTGAAGACTTTCCTGCAGGACAGACAACACTTGAATGTTTTCACTACCCGTAACTCAACAAATATCAATAGACATCTTCCGTGTTTTCTCACAAGTTGTCCTGTTTGTTCATTAAGAATGTAAACATTCTACTTGTTCAAGTTTTTCACTAAGAAGTCCTTGTTAGTCTAGACATTGAAAATATGAACATTCTAAATTAGTAGTCACTTTTGTGCGTCGTAAAGTTATCTAATTTGATTTTTTTGTAGACTTATATAAACTTTACTATAAAGAGAGAGATTTTTTTGTAGATGGGAACATGCAATTACTGACATAACAATTAAGTAATTTGCTTGTTAAATAGTTTTTTTATGACATAAAAAGAAAAAGTGTATCAAATGAAGTACATATTATAATGGCAGTAAAATGTGCAGTTGATGTTTGTATAGTACAAAATGTTTTCTTAATGCAATGAGTTAAAATGATATGTCAATTTTCATTGATGAATTATCCATGTATGAAATATTCCCTAAATGAATTTTGCCCTTTTAGATAATGATATCAGAATTTATAAGCCATAAGATATGAAAATAAAAAGGCCAAACATCTAATAGCCTGATAATGTATATATTATTAATTTATTATCCATAAGAATTAAAGTGTTAATAGTGCATGCTTGCTGTGATGACTATGTTGTCCTGTATAACTGGTCAGACAGGTGTTTATGTTGTTGCAGTCTGGCCCAATGGTCACTTTTATCTGTATGTGAATATGGATTAAACTTTGAAAAAGATCTTGTTGTGAAAAGTCTTGATTTGATTTCTATGTAAGTTCACAGAAAGGCTTTTAAGGAAGCCCTCTACAAAGATTGTACAATTTAATTTTCTGTATTTATCAAAAAAAAAACATGGCCTTTATTTTACCATATCAGTTTTTCCAACATATTTCAGTCTTGCATCAACTCACTGATAGAATTACCTTCCACTAAGTTTAATCTTTGATCTGCAAACTTACAGTAGCAAGGGGGACAGGTCACTTATCTATACTAAGCCTTAACTTACCTGGTTTTCTGAAATGAACTTGTCCATTTCCTATTTTTGGAACTGTCCATTTTCAATTTTAGGATTATCAAGATAAAATTTTTTAAGTTAGTCATCCAACAATATAAGGGCCTGGTAAGACTGAACAGATGTTGTAGGCTGGCCTCGCTCTATACTGGTGGCAAAAGCTAATCACTTTCGGTTCCGGTAGGGCAAGGGCTAAACATTGTTTTGTGTCATCGTTCTTATCTAATAAAGTTAAATTTTACATTTCTGAAGTTGTCCTCTATCAAGATTGTTTCAATGATATTTGTCAAAATTTATTGCCACATGTTTCAATGCAACAGATATTCTGATGTGATTTTGACTCTCGGCCCTCATGGTCACTCATAATTATATTTTATTATCTAGAAATTAAAGCCACAGTGCATTGCTGTTGGTACTTTGTTACATGTTATAGCAACTAACTGACTGTGTAATGTTCATCTTTTTCGTTTAATCTGAAATCCCATCTGTAGTTTTTTTTATGGTCTTTTATCGCCATAATATGGTATTAACATAGGTTTTATAAGCTTTATCAAAAAGAGTTTCCCTAATGGATGATCAGAATCAAGAATTTATCATGTGAACATGATTAATTGCAAAGGGCAGGAGGTGGTGTATGCCTTTTAATGACTTGAATTTTTGTTATAATCCGCTGAACGGATGATTTCCCATAATGCATGATATGTGAACTCAGCCAGAAAGTTTAGCTGCTGATTTTTCTTTTTGGTATGGATCGTAATCAGGTACTCGTATAGTTAAAGCTTTAGATATGAGAAACCAATTTTTTACTAAATGGATATATGAAAAATGAAAGAGTTTTTGTCCAAAGTATGTATTTGATACAGTAATTATACTTAAAATCCTAAAAAGACCAAATTTAGAAAGTGGAAAAATGTATGTTTAAGTAGACTGTTTCTCCATTATACCAAAAGCTATGATGCTGTTATATTAGTACATTTGTAGTAATAAAGGTTTTTGACAGGTTATATGGCCTTATATAAATGGTTGTTTGGATATATAATCTGAGCTGTTAGGACAATTGAAGTGGTGTGTGTTAGTACTTTTCTCATGTACAAAAGCATATGCTTTATATTAGTACATTGTACAGTATGTCCTTATATAGTGTTCGGAATATCAACCAACTCATAGGTGATGGTTATTTTGAAAACAACCGTTTATAGTAACGGCCATATTACCTGTCAGAAATATTTATAAGGTATTTATGATATGTCAACAAGCAACTTTTTTTTAGAGGGAAAAGTGAGATTCCTTCATAAATTGACATCAGCCATGTATATAAAACTATATAAACATCATGATTATCCAATGAAAAGCGAAATTACCCAAATTCAGTTTTATATTTAACATTATACTGCGTGTCTTGATTTGTCCTGTTCTAGTGCTCTTTTAAAGAAGTGTGTTGATTCTGTCTACATTTACAATGTCCTTCTAATAGGGTCCACTGAAACTTGTTGTAAAACCCCAATAACCTTAAACAGTCAATAATTGATATTTACACAATGTTATATGGTATAGCTGGTTTGTTTAAGATGATTCTAAACGTATTTATAACCTGGACACGTCTGTTTGCTAGCTAATATTTGATCAAGTTCTCAAATATTATAGTCTCAAGTATTATAGCCAATATCAAATAAGGAAAATGACTTTCTCTTCCAATTACAGCTATGCCTTATAAAAATAAATTGTATTAATGTTCCTTCAACATGATATAGTGATTAAAGGTGTTTATATTGTTATGTTATAGACTTTAAACACTTAACTTTGATTTTGCATATTGTCAATTAAGTGCAATAACTCAGGTTAACTCCTATTAGATTTAGAAGGACTAAACCCGTTACTGAACTAAGGTGACAATATATTAGTTTAAACTTACCTATTTGTGAAGAAAGATGTTATGATAGTACAAAATTTATGTGACTGATGGTCAAGCTTTAGTCCTTAATGTGTTAAACTAGATACTTTTGAACAGTCCTGTCAAAATTTATATAGAATTTCAATTTCGAACTACGAAAACTGACCTACCAATAATATAGAGATGCGCAGACTTATAATGCCTGGCTCTGTACTAATGATAAAGGCTACCCAATGTTAGGGGTTAGTAATCAGATTCATAATCTGACTTGCTATCTTCATCAACCTTAAATTCAAATATGTATCAAATTTATATTTTATTTCAATTTGCAAACACTGACACTTGGGGTGTGGAGCTCAAAACATCTTTAAAATCCAAATGAAATGTATATTTGTCAATCTTAGCACATGTACTTATCATATATATCATTAAAGCTTAATATAAGCCGTTAAAAAAAAATATTTCAATGTCTATGATCATTATAGATGTTGAAATATGAAATTGCTTGAATTTTTTGGATTTTAAAGATGTTTCGCGCTCAACACCCCAAGTGTCACTGCAAACAATTGGTAGCAATAATCATCAAAATAATTATTGATAATAACTGAATGTGCTTGCTATACAACTGCATGAATACTTGTAGAGTTTTATTTTTAATCTTAATTCCTTTGAACTATTTATGTTATTTACTACCAGTAACTTGACTCTTATTGTATCCTCTATTTTATATACATTACATAATGTTATAAAACTAGTTAAGAAAGGCCAAAGTGATCAGCCTTTGCCACCAGCTGTACTTACCCTGCAGGCATGCTCGTACCAAGGTCACGTGCAGTTTTATTTTGATGATGAAACCCCTTAACATGTGGACAGACTAGCTCAGGTAGCAATCTAAGGCTTATCACTTTCAGTTTCAGCATGGTATAAGCTAATTATAAAAGGCAACTTACAGTAATTTGAAAAGGAAGCACGTTTATAAATTTTGAATAGATTTTAGCTCAGACAGGATATGCATTTATATCAGAATTAGATTTAAATTCAGTAGTAAAATTTAATGGCGTGACATAATGATAATATCACAAAAATCAGAATTCATGAAGTTAAGAAAACGACATAAATTATATTTAACCTTTATGTGTAATTAGTATTTATTACAGGGTGCCAAAATATCTGCACCCAATTACCGTCCTTATATTTCAGGGTAATAGATTAGGTACTGTCGCCAAACTTTTAATGTAACCTTCACTAAATCAGATTGTCGAACAGACCCCCCTTTCAATTCAACTAGATTTAATTGTATATAAAGTAAAAAGCTAGAATGACTTGATTTATGAAAACCACATTTTTGATGAAGTGATACTGTTTAACCCTAAAGAGCTCGATCTACGAACATTTTTTTTGCAGGTATTGTGTAGTTTTCTTGTTTGTGAAATGATAACATCATTATTTGTTCAATAATGATAGTATATAAAAACGCTGATAAAATATCAAATTACATGCATGAAAATGCAGTTTAATCCTTCTCCTTCGTAACTTTTCTTAAATGTCATGCCTATTGAAGTTCAGGACAAAATGGCTATTTTAAAAGTCCAATGTAAGAGGTTGTATTAGGTCTGGAAATTGCCTTTTGTGGTAAATCCTGACAAGATTGTGTTTCAAAATAAGCATTTTACAATTAGCATTATTAAACTAATGATTAATAGCTTTTTGCCATACTGTTTCTGAAAGGGTCACAGGTAGGCCTCTATTTCAATTGAATAGATACAAACATTGTTTGAAAGGGTATATAGACTTTAATTTTACTTCAATATATACACATATAATTATACTCACCTGGTATATACAGTTGTGTTTTGTGTAGAAAAAAAAAACTTTTGCTTTACCATCTTTGGAATCAGATAACACATTCTACACTTTCCTTTTAATCAATAGCAAACAAATCAGCACCATTGCTCAGGGACAGTTACAGCCTTTCCCAACCTTTTATTTTGTGAAAATTGTTCAAAGCAAAAATTGGTAGAGCAAAAGTTACAGGCTCAAATCTGCCATAAGGTTAGACTAGAATTTGCAAGGATGTACACAGTTATATTATCACACCATTGTCAAAGAACTTATTAAGGGTTACACATGGGTTAGAGGAAATTGGTACACTGACAATTAATAGTACAAATATGAAAACAATTCTCCATGAGAGCTTTTAGACATTTTGAAAAGTTGCTGAATCAATCTGTGATCTTTGTCAGACACAACACATTTGATTTTGTTAGATGTGTAGCTGATGTAAATAAGCACTGTAACTAAATAGTACCCAGAGACGTAGATTTGTCTCTGCTTTACCATTGTATTAGAATTTTCTTCATCTTTAAATATTTTTGAACAAATTGTGTAGATTCTTTCTTATTTCAGCCCTCAAGCAAGAGAGCCATGGAAGGCGTGTTTCTGCTTGGAATGCTGGGTATCGGACTCATAGTGTTTAGAGTATACTTCATGGGAAACAAGCCTCCTGAGTTCGCACCATCTGACAACCCTGCATCAGACTCGGATCAGTTCATCACTCGCTGTTTGACATATCTTCTGCTTCCTGTACTGAACATGTGGATGTTTCTTTGTCCAAGAATACTCAGTTTTGATTGGTCAATGTCTGCAATTCCTCTTGTAGAGAGTGTAGCAGATTACAGAAATATTTTCACAATAGTGTTCTACTCTGTTATGGGCTATTTAGCATATTTAACATTAGATTTTATTAACAATCATTCCAAAGCCTCTCCTGTTCATTTGAATGGGAACGGTTTTTCTAGCCATGTGATACAAACTTTAAAACCATCTACGGGTAAACATAAAACATTCCAGACTCAAAGACAGACATCTATTACAGGTGAAAATTTATCAAACTCTACACACAGTCATTCTAGTGGTCTCAATATTTCTTCACATTCCATAGATGTATTAATATTTTCAATTGCCTTAATTGTGCTGCCATTTATTCCAGCTTCAAATTTATTTTTTTACGTTGGCTTTGTGATTGCTGAGCGAGTTCTTTACATTCCAAGTATGGGCTTTTGCCTGTTAGTTGGGCATGGATGTAATATTCTATACAAGAAGTATAAAAACGAGAAGAATAATAAAGAGAAACTTGTTGTCATAGGAACTGTGTTCCTGATTGTGCTCAACAGTGGTAAGACTGTTCTACGTAACAAAGACTGGGCTTCAGAAGAGAGACTTTATTCATCAGGCATAGCCGTCAATCCTCCTAAAGGTAAATACATTACATGGACATTTGAGCCATGTCACGACAAAACCAACATAGTGTGTTTGCGACCAGCATGGATCCAGACCAGCCGGCTGCGCATCCGCGCAGTCTGATCAGGATCCATGCTGTTGGCTATCAGTTTCTCTACTTGTAATAGAGTTGGTTAGCGAACAGCATGGATCCTGATCAGACTGCGCGGATGTGCAGGCTGGTCTGGAACCATGCTGGTCGCAAACCCATTATGTTGGTTTTGTCGTGGAACAGCTCATTTCTTGTTTTAATGTATTTAGCAATCATTTGCAAGTTTTTCTGTTGTAGCATGAAGTATATTGAAATGTTTCCCCTAATCTACTGAATTTTCTAAATGGACTTGCCAAGCTTCCATTTTCTTTCATGATTTTAAGTTAGTGAGGCAAGAATATAGTCGGGTTAGACTGCAGGGATTTGCCGGCTGGTCTTGCTCTATACTGGTGTTATGTATAATTACCATACCTTTTCCCAATATTTAGATATTGCTATTTGTCTGAAAGTTATAAAACTCATAAAGCACTCCTGATTTGCTTGTTGTTATGACTGGGGTTTTTTATGCCCCCGGGCATATAGTAATTGAACCGTCCGTCCGTCCGTCTGTCCGTACGAGGTTAACCTAGAACGGCAAGTTGGATTTTTCTTAAGTTCTACCAGTACCAATGGCTTCTAAGTTTACACACTTACTAATCAATACAAAGTACATGATCTGGGCAAGTTTCATAACTCTGGCTTTCATATTTACCAAGTTATTGCCCTTTTCAGTACTAAGAAAATGGATAATGGTTAACCTAAAACGGCAAGTTGGAAATATCTTAAGTTCTATCTATACTAATGGCTTTATAATTTCCACACTTACTTATCAATACAAAGCACATGATATTGCCAAGTTATATAACTGTGTCATCCATATTTCCCAGTTATTTCCCTTTTTTCACTTTGAAAATAGGGCCTTGTCTGGTTAACCTATTTCGGCAAGTTGGATTTATCTTAAATTTCTCCTAATTGCTTAATTTCTTTACTGATATCTTTCATATTTAGTAGGTGGATACCTTTGATGGGCCTCTAATTTTTTTTTGGAGTAAGCGGTCTCTAGGGTCAAGGTCAAGGTCACTGGTTTAAAAAATAAATATAAACCTTTTTGCTCATACAGCCTTTATTTTTTAGTTGATGTCTTAGTTTAATACAAACACCTCCTTCTTTGGGTGTAGTATGGGGTCATTTGGGTCAAGGTCAATGTTACCAATGTCAAGGTCACCAATGTTAAAAAAAGATTTTTACAGGTGTATTGACCTTATTCTATAGACAGATGTTATTTATAATTGATAGAAACATAAACTTTGATGGAGTTAGTGGTCAGTTGGGTCAAGGTCACCAGTGCTAAAAATAGATTTTTACACATTTGCTCATACAGCCTTTATTAAGTGACAGATATATTTTAAAATTGGTAGGAAGATTACTTGCATGGTATTCATCCTTTTGATTGGGGTAGGGATCAGTGGGTCAAGGTCACTTGTGCTAAAAATAGATTTTTACACATTTGCTCATACAGCCTTTATTAAGTGACAGATATATTTTTAAAATTGGTAGGAAAATTACTTGCATGGTATTCATCCTTTTGATTGGGGTAGGGATCAGTGGGTCAAGGTCACTTGTGCTAAAAATAGATTTTTACACTTTTGCCCATACAGCTTTTATTTATTGACAGTTGTATTTCATATTTGGTAGGATGATAACTTGCATGGTATTCTTCCTTTGGATGGAGTAAGGGGTCAGTTGGGTCAAGGTCACAAGTGCTAAAAATAGATTTATACACTTTTGCCCATACAGCCTTTATTTATTGACAGATGTATTTCATATTTGGTAGGAAGATATCTTACATGGTATTCTTCTTTTGGATAGAGTTAGGGGTCAGTTTTGTCAAGGTCACCAGTGCTCAAAATAGATTTTTACACTTTTGCCCATACAGCCTTTATTTAATGACAGATGTATTTCATATTTGGTAGGAAGATAACTTGCATGAAGTTGAATATTTTTCAACTTCACAAGTCAGAGCAATGACTTGGCAACTTATATATTTCACAATTACAAAATGCAATGCTTTTGTCAAGCTATAAAACTTGTGTTTACAATTTTTTGGCAATTTTTCTGTCCATAACTGAGTGAATGGGTAAAATTTTTTAAGTATTGCTACTGACAAGAATCTGAGCCGGGGGCATTTGTGTTTAACAAACACGTTCTTGTTTTCTCTACCTTTAAACAAAGTTTTATGATTAAAAAAATCCAAGTTGAGTGAATCTGGATTTGTCCCTGAAAGGGTGAAAAATGTTCTGTATTTTCTACTTTTATCACATTCTTACTCAAGAAATTTGATTTTAAATTGGGAATAGGTTGAAAACTTAACAGCAAATTTAAAGCTGTCTCTGGAAAAATATTTTGTCAATATTTATAATGAAATTTACATGGAGTGTAGAGTATAAACAGAGGAAAATAGTCTGTAAATTCTGAGACAAGATCAACATTTCCTACACTAGGGATTTGTCTTACGTATATGCCTGTATAATACATAGCTTGTTCACACAGAATGTTGCATGTCTATATGTTGTTATATAAAACCTGTCACTTTCATCTGAGAATGTTTTAACATTAAGTCTCTTGATTAAAACCTAACAGCAATTGCATGCTAAAGTGAATTTAACACAATTCTGAAGAATTGACTGTTCTTATCAACAGGAAAAAAAATATAAATTTGTTTTGATGTACATTCTTCTTCTTAGTCACTTTGTCACTTTAAATCAAAACTTTATGTGTATTGTGAAATGAAAGATTTGAAAGGATTGATAATTAAAAAAACAACTGATAATAACATGATTGACAGTTTCAACAGCTTTAATTTTTCATTACTTGTAACCACTGTGTGATTGATCATCAATATCTGCATATTAGATTGTAGAAATTACTTTACTGAAACAAACTCATAATATCTGAACTTGAACCAGAATACTTGAAAAAACAAGAACAATAATTTTGGTATTCAAATGATTCAAATCAAAGACAGCTGGTGTCCGAACCCTTAAATCATAGACAACCACTAACCAAATGATTTATATCAAGGACAGCTGGTATCCAAACCCTTAAATCATGGACAACCACTATCCAAATGTTTTAAATCAAGGACAACCAGTATCTGCATGATGTGATATAAAAATTCTATCAAGGACAACTGGTATTCTGCATGATTCGATGTAAAAAAATAAATCAAGGACAACTGGTATCTTGATGATTTAAATCAAGGACAACTGGTATCCTGATGATTTTAATCAAGGACAACCGGTATCTTGATGATTTAAATCAAGGACAACCGGTATCTTGATGATTTAAATCAAGGACAACCGGTATCTTGATGATTTAAATCAAGGACAACCGGTATCTTGATGATTTTAATCAAGGACAACCGGTATCTTGATGATTTAAATCAAGGACAACCGGTATCTTGATGATTTAAATCAAGGACAACCGGTATCTTGATGATTTTAATCAAGGACAACCGGTATGACTTGATGATTTTAATCAAGGACAACCGGTATGACTTGATGATTTTAATCAAGTATCTGTCTTTCTGTAGCAAAAACAGCAATGTAGTAGTATATTGTTATAACACAAGTACCATAATACATTTATATTATGATTCAAATGTGCTGACATCTAATGTTCTATGTAGAAAGACCAAATTTGTGCATCATTCTGAAAATTAAATCTTCACAGTGACCTTCCTAATGTTCAAATCACACTACTTTGCTTTTCTTCTTTGTTGATTTTCATTTTGAAAATTTCTTATATATCAGAAAGCCATTCAGTTATTCTGGAAGATTCTGTGAAGTTTTTTCTGAAAATGTTTGTTTTTTGGCCATGTTTTTTTGGCAGAAAAATAAATGATTTATTGTTGTCAATGTTACCTGATTAACAGTTGTATGTAAATAACCAGAAACCAGCTTGTCTTGTTCTAACAGCATGATGTTCCTTCCTTTTCAGCATGGGGAAATTTGGCAAATATTTTCAACAGTCAAGGGAGAGTTACTGATGCAGAGACCGCCTACAGAAATGCTCTCAAATATCGGCCAAACATGTCTGATACACATTATAATCTGTAAGGAATGCTGGCTTCCTTCATTTTTGTGTTCGTCACAAATCATTTGTAACCAAAACCCTTGGGAAGGTCGGGGGCGGGATAGTAGAGTTTATGATTTTGAGTTTTTGGAATGTTTCTGTCTCAGCACTGCAGAGTCTGAGCAAAGCAGTTTTGTTTTAAAGCTGGGTATATTTCCAAACTGCAATTCCAGATTTTAACTATCTGACTTTTTGCACTAAGTGGGGACTTTACCAGGAGTTAGAAAATCCACAAGTTAAAGTCCCCACTATTTCTCATGGGTGGAGTGGTCATCAGGTTACAATTGATTTGTGTATATTGAGAATGTCTGCTCCTTTAAAGTGACATTATGCTGCCCATCATAGGGTATATAGAGAGTGAACAGGCAAAAGTCAAAATAAAATTACATTTTGCAGTAATTTCTTTCAATCTTATAATTCTTCTCACATGAACAGAACAATAAATAACTCACATGGCCCAAGGAAATTTCTGGAAATATTAATGGGAACGTGCCTCAGAAATGTTGAACTTAAAAAAAGAGAGGGAGGCAGTCTTTTTATATTTTTTAGTCATATTGATATTAAACATTATAAACTTTAAACATTTTCCTATATCATCTGTTGGTAAATCACTATTTTAACAGTCAGTTTATAGAAATATAACTAAATATAGTTAATTCAGCTCAACTTGAGAATGACAAAATGAGCATAATGTCACTTTAACATTTTATTTTAACTTCTATAAAGCTAACACAGATTATATGATTCACTAATGTTACTGTTGTAAAATATACTATTAATCGTATATCAGTAAAGATCACCAAAAAAAATTTTTCTTGCTTAAAATGTGTTTTGTGAAACTTTACTTACAGAGCGGGTTATCTCATGACATTTGTTTCTGGTATTTGCTATTTTTTCATTAAATCAGTCAATTTTTGAATATCTTTTAAATAATAAATATATTCCATTTTCCAGGTAAAAAATAGTCAATTTCATTGCTATATAACTTTCCATTGTAGCTCTTTTACTTTGCTCGTTATGTTTGTAGAAACTTTTCTACGCAGCAATATTTTGATTGAAATATATGTGTCACAATTTCTACAAGTATATTGGGAAAAGTACAAGAGCTACTTTGTACCTTTGAAATTGCAAAATATTTGCCTAGAACTTGGTGTATGTTTATAATTTAAATATTGAAAGATATAACAACAAATTAGCAACTACCATTAGTGGCGACCCAATGTTACGGTAAACAAATATCATGTGATCTCCTACCCTGAACTAACAGTATTGACCTGTGATTATTGATAAATGTCCAGACACTTATAACAATGCTTAAGCAAGTAACATGATGAGAAATTACAAATTTGCACACAAAAAAATTATCCTGTCCTGCAGTTTGACCACTGACCAGACTGTCAATAAATCAATTGATCTATCTTCATATTGAATCCCTTAAGGTGCCCTCACACATAAACCACGACCTTACTGCGACCTGAAAACTAGTAAAATAGCATTTTTCTGTCGAAAATCGTTGGTTTTCTTTCAAATTTCTCTCGCAGACGGTCCGGGACTCTGCAGTCTTGTGTTCAGTGCGTTTTCTCTATGTCCTCAATACGACCCTTCTACGTCCATGGCGTTTCCACTTCGACTGTATTGCGTCCCCAAGGCGACCCCACGGCGATCATCGGCGACCCAGCTGCGACTGTGCTATGTTCTCTGCGTCCTTACGACGACTCTACGACGACTATTGCGTTTGTCCGGCGACTGCCCTGCGACTGTACGACGACCCTACTACGTTCTTGCTACGTCTATAAAAACAATACTTTTTACCAGTAAATTTCATTCTGAGTCTGACCTTACGGCGTCCTTAGTACGAGTGTACTATGTCTATTGCGTTCTTATTGCGTCCTTACTACGATGCTGCTGCGACTATGGCGACTCCACTGCGATCCCACGGCGACCTAACCAGGACTCAGCAAGAACGCAGAGTTTCTGCGACTGTTTTGTGCATGTTCAAAATAGTCGCCGACGGTCTGCGACCTTGTGCGACCTTGTGCGTCCTTGGGTTCCTCGCTACGACCTCGCTGCGTCCCTGCTGCGTCCATGGCGACTGTGCTGCGTCCTGGGTCGTAGCAAGGTCGCAGTAAGGACGCAGTAAGGTCGCAAGGTATCTGTGAGGGCAGTATAAAATGCAATGGACAGTTCTGAATTTAAAGGTGGGCATACATAAGTTTATATGGCTATGTGTTTTCAATATCATAAAACTAAATTTGAGCAGCTGGTCAGTCTAAATGTCTTGGGGTTTTATCCCAATGGAAAACGGGCAGGTTGTCACAGTGCTTATTTCAAATCAGTACTTTTATCAAAATGTGTGTGTTTTAATTTTGTGTTACATTCAAAAAGACATAAGTCTTTTATAATCAAACCAAGCCTGAAACATAGTCTAGTTTGTTATTTTTGACATTCTTTACGTATTCTGTTTTTCTCTACCGTTAACCATAAAGCCAGATATTCTTGTCTGCAGATTATTTTTTAAATAAGATATTATAAATTTTGTACTGTTAAAAATGTTATTATTTTCTGGATGATAAATATTTGCATCTGTAAAGTAATTGATACAAGTTTCTCTTTCATTATGTTTGTGTAAAACAATGTGTTATAAATTAATATTGTTTTATTAGTAATTGTTTTATTTCATATTAATCAATGATATGTTATGTTATTTTAGGGGAATTTTACTACAGAACCAGAAGAGGTATAAGGAAGCCTTGGAAAGTTACTATAAGGCTATTGGTTACAGACCCAACTTATCTAGTATGTTTTATTGTTATTTACTTGTTTTGATAAATCAGTTTAATGGTAAGTAAATTTATTTTCCGGGCCCCATCAATAAGGCCGACCCTATTTATTCTCCCATATAATCAGCATGGGTCGGTGAACCTGTCTGTCCTATACTGACCTTACAAAGTCACTTTTGTATATACATATACAGCAGTTATGAATTAACAAGAAGTCGTAATTTCAATAGCATGGATTATAGTGATACCCTAAGTGATGCCGCCTTTATAATTGGATTTTAAAAAAAGGTTGAAAAAAAATATAGATGGTTTGTTCGTAATAAATACAATCTGGCAATAAGGTTACAAAGAATTCTGTACCATTTACTCAGTTATTTATTTATGCTTGTTAGTATACATGTTTGAAATATTTGCAAATTGTCTTCTCTTCTATGATATTCATTATTTATTTCAGTGGCACATCTTAACCTTGGTATTCTCCTGGCCCAGCTTGGAAATAAAACTGAGGCTGAGAAGGTAATTGTTTTTATGTTTCATAAACATATTAATTTGTGGTGTCTTTGACTGAGTGGTTAAGAGTGTTGTCTTCTAATCACTAGCCCTTCATAGCTGTGGGTTCAAATCTCGCCATGGACTTGGATTCTTTCATGTGAGAGGAAGTTATCCAGCTAGCTCAAGGAATGTCTGCTGTTCTACTCAGGTGCCCGTTTGTGCCTGAAATAATGCACGGAAGGGCACCTGAGGTCTTCCTCCACCAGTAAAGCTGGAACGTCGTGATATGACCTAAACTGTGTCGATGTAACATAAAACCCAAAACAAACAAACATTGTCATGACTGGCAGATTTTTCCACCAGATTAGCTGGAAAGTTGACATTTGACCTATTCTGTGTTGATGCGATGTAAAAACTAACCAGATATAAATAATAAAACAAAAACATAAACACAATAAATATTTTTGAGATTTGGTATGAAAAAGATTTTCATGCAATGTTTTGACAAATATTACAGTGTAAAATAAAGGGGCCATATCATCAGTAAAGTCCCTCTGTTACAGTGTGGGCTTTGACTTGGAACTTGAGATACCACAAATATTTTGTAGACAGTAGTATAGCTTATTTAGCCAAAGATACTTTAATTTATATAACACAGTTGCCATTTATTTTTTTAACCTGCTGATGGAATCAGACTGATGGTGTGTAGTGGATTTATCCTGCTTTGAATTTTGAACTGTCCATTTAAAGTTTAAGGGACATCAATATCAAGTGGGAAAAAGGGATCAGTGTAGGCTGGCCTGGCTCTATTCTGGTGGCAAAGGCTAATTTCAATTTCGGTTCCAGCAGGTTAAATGTAACATTTTGTCCATTATGATGTTAAAATAGTTTGTATCCTATTCTTACTTTGGTTTTGAGAAATAAATGAATTTAAATTTTATTAAGTACCATTTCTTTTTTGTTAATCATTTCTGAAAATATAAATCTAGATTTAATCTTAATATTAAAAACAGGAAATAAATAATTCTGAATAAAGAGGTTTGAAGTAAAGTTATTAAAGACAAATGAGCGGTGTCATGACAAAACGAACATAATGGGTTTGCAACCAGCATGGCTCCAGATCAGCTGGAAACCCGCGCAGTCTGCCCAGGTTTTCCATGCGTTAACTATTATTTTTTTTCTCACTTGTTATTTTGGGTTTGTAACGGACAGCAGGACCCTGATAGACTGCAGGGATGCACAGGCGGGTCTGGACCCTTGCAGTTCGAAAACGCTTTAATGTTACGTGGCTCATTAAATTATTTTTTTTTTGTAGGTTTTATAGAATTGTGCGATTTGATACATCAAATTTTTAAGGACCCCTAGGTTTTAAATGCTTCAACTAAAATATCATTTTGTATAACTGGGCCGATTTTTATATTGTTTTTTAAAAAATAGGTACAGTAAGTTTTTCTTATAATTTCAGGTAAATTTTAAATAATATTTTACAAGTCAGCCATTTAATCCAGGTCTGTTTGTAATTCATTCGGTATATGTTTTGAAGGTTTTGGGTTAAAAATGATGAATAGTTTTGTCCAGATTTAGAGATGGACAAGTCCATTTGAGATTTTTAGTTTGGAAAGGCATTATTAGAGAAATACTCGGTAGATGTTAGAGTAAACTCACAAGGTAATATTTTCAAGTACATTAATGATCTGTGATTCTACCTATTTGCTATTTTTTTTCTTAAATGAGACATCAATAGGTATCCTTTACCAATAAAGCTGGAATGTCACTACAATCATGTATTTTACTATAATTCAAGATTTTTTCAAGATTTCAAAATTTTATCGGCAAAAACATTTCACAATGTCCATTGCTATGTTCAGCAGTTCAATAAAAGTATGTACATAATGATATTATAATAATTATAATAGTATTAACAATTTCTGTTTTCTTAATTTTGTCCTTACTTTATTATTTTGAATTACCCATTAAAATAAGGAAGCAAGTCCCATTTTATTTTGCATCAAATTTTCTTTTGACACAAATTTTCATATTGAGATTGGTGTAAATCTTTTGACAATTCTTTGTTTTCCTATCTAAAATAATCAAAATTGTTTCTATGGTAACAGGAAGCCATTGCAGTGTTTGAGGAGGCCTTGAAGAAAAGACCAGATCACTACAGTCCACAATCTATATACAATCTATATGGTAACAATATAATTTATAGACTATAGAGTTGTAGATATACCTCATTTCACAGCTTTTATGTTGATAATATTTTTTTCTTGCATTCTTTTTTATGGTTGTGTTTTACACAACACAGAAAAGGTCATAATTACATGTATGGTGATTTCCAGCTATACTGGTGGAGGAAGACTGCAGCTGCCCCTTTGTGCATTATTTTAGACACAAAATGACCAGGAACATTCTGTATATGAAAGAATCCTGTTGAAGTTTTAATTGCTTTCTTTCATCATTGATTTCATCCTTCAGTCATACTGACATAACTACATTACCTTTTGAAAAAGCATGCTCTTTGACACAAATTCTGGGTATTTGGTTTGTTGGTAACTTCTACATAACTTTCCTAGAGTCTTAAGGCTGAAATAGATTATACTTTTCCTCACATTAGGCTATGATTGTAGTTTTATCGCAGTGACTTCTTGTTGCAGATATTTCTGTTTAATCAGAGGTGTTACCAGTAACTTGCTAAATTTGTATAACAAACTTTTCTAGCTTCCATATTTGGAACTGTCCATTACTAACGTATGGGATATCAACATGGAGATTTAATATTAGTTAGCCAACATTATAGTATAGCTCATGGTTGTATTACCGCAGTTGATTAACATGTATTCTAACATGACCCGCATTTTTCCTAATTGAACATAGAAGCACCGAAAGTTTGTGTTATTTAAGAAATGATATATCTCAAACTGTGATTTTATTGCTCAATAAAATCACTGTTTTGAGTTCAGATGCGGGGAATTATATCACGAGGGCGTAGCCGAGTGATATAATGATGAGCATCCGGACAACAAACAGTGATTTTATCAAACAATAAAATCACCGATTTGGATATATTATTTCGATTCTAACAAGACATCAACAAATAAATGCTGCTGTACCTTAGATATTAAGCTAAATTGCGCCAGATTTGTTTCTGTGCTTATTGTCAGTGCGTCACATTTTTAGTGGTTATGTCACGTGTATAATGATAACGTCACATGTCTAAATATAGTATGTCAAACAGTGATTTTATAGCGTATAACACACACTTTCGGTTTTTCTATGTTCAATAGGGAAAAATGCGGGTCATGTTAGAATTTGAAATAAAATCACTGTTGACGATCTATATTTAGACATGTGACATAATCATTGTATACATGTGACATAACCACTAAAAATGCGATGTGCTGAAAATAAGTACAAAAACAAATCAGGCGCAATTTAGCTTAATATCAGGTATGGCAGCATTTGTTTGTTAATGTCGTGTTAGAATCGAAATAATATATCCTAATTGGTGATTTTATCGCTTGATAAAATCACTGTTTGTTGTCTGGATGCTCATCATTATATCACTCGAGCTACACCCTCGTGATATAATTCCTAGCATCGGAACTCCAAACTGTGATTTTATTGAGCAATAAAATCACAGTTTGGGATATATTATTCTTAAGCATAACATGTTACTGGTTCGGCTGTGGGTATCTGACAATGAGTCAAGACTCCCTTGATGTGTAGGCCTGTCTAAATCTGTACTTGTGGAATGGGCTAATTATTATCATTAGGTTGTACATGGTAAAGGTTTAATTAATCTGATATTTTCAGATATGAGCTGTGTCATTAGGCAAATCATGAAGCTTATTTACAAATGCTATAATATGTTGTCATTTAACAGTAGCATTTTTGCTTCAGTCCTACTCATAATGTTTTTGATGAAAGTTAAAATTTTAATACTATTATTTGATTATATTTTGTACATGCTTGTAGAATTTATTAGAATTTATGTAGACTATAACTTAATACATGAACTGAAACTCATTCTTTTTTGTCAAAGTAAGTGTTGTGGCTACCTACGATGTACTTGAATCATTTATGTTAACATTGTACTATAAATTAAAAAATGATTTTTTGCAGGAGAAGTGTTTGCTAATATAGGACGTAATTGAGCTATAAAAAAGGGGTGGTTTAAAAAGAAAAAAGGGGTTTTTCGGGGAAAAGTTGGGAAACCCCGGGGTTTTCCCAATATATGTCATTAACCTTTTGGCAAGGCAATCAAAAAATGGAACACGTTTTTTTCTTTTCAAATACAGTATGATTGCCCATTAAGCACATGCTTCTTAACCCTGACCACTGTAAGTATCTGTAATGGACTGGTCCATCTTTCAATCTGGACAAAACCATTTTATCAATTTTAGGTAAAATTTCAAAATATTTACTGCCTGAACAGAAAAGACCATGATCAGAGAGATATTTGTCAGTTGATCTTGGTCTGCACTGGTTGCATGGTTATATACATTTCTGCTAGCGACGTATATGTTGAAGAATACTTGTAAGTGAAACTACCTGTTACTGAAACTTAGCTCCTGTATATATTCTCTTATTACAAAGAAATTTAAGGTATAAAAATGCATTTCCATGTTTGTAAAATTGAAAAACCTAATACAGTAAGCCTATACGTTTTCTGAGACAATTGTAAATACAAATGTATATTAATATTATCCTGTTTTAAGCGAAATTTTTTACTATTGAGCGATACTCAATAATTTTTGCCTTTTGTAAATATGGTGTAGAAATGAACTGTAACATGATTTTGGTTCAGTAAAAATTATCATCTAAATATTTGCTTATGTAATTTGAAAGTCTTTGCATGTTGTTGAGTTTAAAGGCAATAAGTATCTCACATATGTTTTAGTTTTGTCATGTAAAAAATATTTAAAAGTAATATTTTAGAAAATGTCTTTAATTTAGATTTTCCCAAGAAGGACTAAGTCTAATGATTGAATGGTAAATTAAAAGAAAAATATAGATCTGGATTCTTCTTTGAATCTGTTTATTTAGATGATAAATGTTGCATACCGGTATGTGATAAGATATAAGTGGTTTTTGTTGTAGGGGAATCATAAGGAAGCTGAGGAATGGTTTCTTAAAGCAAAGAAGATAGACCCTGAGGACACTTCAGTGTACCAACACTATGGTAAGATATGTTACAAAGTTGTGAATTGTTTGCAGAAAATATATTCAATGTATAGCAAGCTAAGTGAACTTTATGTATAAAATTATCCAATATGTAATAAATATGTAGAAAATGATCATCATAAGCATTAAGCATAGGTCTGTCATTGTCACAACTGGCATTCAGGATAGACCTAACATTGTCATCAGTAGCATTCAGCATAGACCTTACATTGTCATGAGTGGGGCGTCCGTGGCCGAGTGGTTAAGGTCGTTGACTTCAAACCACTTGCCCCTCAACGCTGTGGGTTCGAATCCTGACAGGGACTTTGGCTTCCTTCATGTGAGGAAGCTATCCAGCTAGCTTATGGAACGTCGGTGGTTCTACTCAGGTAGATTTGTGCCTGAAATAATGCACGGAAGGGCACCTGAGGTCTTCCTCCACCAGTAAAGCTGGAACGTCGCGATATGACCTATACTGTGTCCCTGTGACGTAAAACCCAAAACAAACAAACATTGTCATGACTGGCATTCAGCATAGACCTGACATTATTGACACTAGCATTCAGGATAGACCTAACATTGTCACCACTAGCATTTAGCATATAACTTACATTGTCATGACTGACATTCAGTATAGACCTAACATTGTCATGAGTAGCATTCAGCATAGACCTGATATTGTCATGAGTAACATTCAACATAGACCTTACATAATCACCACTAGCATTCAGCATAGACCTGACATTGTCATGAGTAGCATTCAACATAGACCTTACATTATCACCACTAGCATTCAACATAGACCTTACAATATCACCACTAGCATTCAGCATAGAACTAACAATATCAGCACTAGCATTCAGCATAGACTTACATTATCACCACTATCATTCAGCATAGACCTCACATTGTCACGACTGGCATTCAGCATAGACCTTTCATTTTCACCTCTAACATTCAGCATAGACCTGATATTATCATGAGTAGCATTCAGCATAGACCTTACATTGTCATTACTGGAATTCAGCATAGACCTTACTTTGTAACAACTAGAATTGAGCATAGAGTAAAGACATGTTTTTTCCCTTCAAATACAGTATGATTGCTCATTAAGCACATGCTGCTTAACCCTGACCACTCTAAGTATCTGTAATGGACTTATCCATCTTTCAATCCGGACAAAACCATTTATCAATTTTAGGTTCATGCATTCAGCATAGACCTGATATTGTCATGAGTAACATTCAACATAGACCTTACATTATCACCACTAGCATTCAGCATAGACCTGACATTGTCATGAGTAGCACTCAACATAGACCTTACATTATCACCACTAGCATTCAACATAGACCTTACAATATCACCACAAGCATTCAGCATAGAACTTACAATATCAGCACTAGCATTCAGCATAGAGCATTCAGCATAGAACTTACATTATCACCACTATCATTCAGCATAGACCTCACATTGTCACGACTCAGGCATTCAGCATAGACCTTTCATTTTCACCTTTAACATTCAGCATAGACCTGATATTATCATGAGTAGCATTCAGCATAGACCTTACATTGTCATGACTGGCATTCAGCATAGACCTAACATTGTAACAACTAGAATTGAGCATAGAGTAAGACATGTCATATTCAGCAGAGACCCCTTGCATTAAGATAGTCTCCTACCTTATATTTTGCCCTACTGATATATAGAGAATAAAGATTATGGTCTGAGCTGTTACCAATACTTGCATAAAATGGTTAAAGATAACATGAAAACTGATTTTGTTGAAGACTATTTTAGGAAACTAGATAAATAGAGGATATTGAAATAGTGTATTTTCAGTACTGAATTTATTGAATGAGTTGAATAAGATTTTATTGTACGAGCCTCTGGCAAGCATAACAATAATTTAAATTCAACAACTTCAACAGATTATGTAATGAATTAAAGTGCCAAAGAATCTGTTTTTATCGACCTGCAGGTATTGTATTGTCACAGTAAGATATGTATGTTCACGGCCATGCAATACCAATTTTACCAGTCGCAAAATTGGAACTGGTTTGTGATAAAAGTGATTCATAAAACAATGTGACACAAACCAACATAAAATTAAATATATTTGCTTTTTAAAACCATTCAGTGTTTTGAATTGGACTTTAAAGCTGCATGCCTCCAGATCAGCTAAAATATTCCAAGAAAATCCAACTTGAGAAACATGTACTAAGATTGTAGAAAAAGCAAAAAGGTTCAAGATTCAAGTAATAATTTATATCTTACGTGCAATGAATGACTGATTTTGAGGTATTTATTCACCATAGATCTACTGCCTTACTAAAGCACTTACGTGCAATTTTTGCATATTTTGAGGTATTTATTCACCATATTTTTGCATACTTTGACCCATGCACTTAAAGGCTATTTTTGCATACTTTGACCTATTTTTGGTAATTTACGTGGATTGTAAGTGCCGTTTGCAATGTATAAATTACTTTCTTTGTTCACTTCACAATATTTCACTTTTCAATACACTTTCAAAATTTTCATGAAAATCAGGATAATTCTGGAGGTGGTGCTGCTTTAAATTGTTATTGCATTGGCTTAAAGAAAAAAGATCAGTCATGGCATCTTATAATACTGCACGTTTGTAACGTCGCTTTTCATTGGATACTCGTGACGTTTGCTGCTGTTGGTTCATAAAGAAATCTTACTTTTTTTCACTAAAAAATGATGCTTGCTGTATTATAAATTTATTGTAAAGATTGTTGACAGGTTATATGGTCGTATATAAATGGCTGTTTGCAATATAACCCTCGCCTACAAAAAGACGTTTATATAGGGCCATATAACTTGTCTACAATCTTTATAACTAATAATATATCAGCCCCAGTTTTAAGATGTGTATATGAACTTTATTTCTAAATTGTCATTCAGCTCAGTTTCTGGGAGAGGTTGGACGTCTGCAAGAGTCAGTTGATATGTATCGGTTGATCTTAGATAAAGATGAGGACAACTTTGAGATGGTATTCAATGCTGCCAACATATTCCGACAAGTACAAGATAATGAATATTCAGAAAAACTCTTCGAGAGAGCATCTTTATTGAAGCCAACTGTAAGAATAACTTTGTTTCATATTATAATAATATCAAAATAAGTCATATTGAAGTTAAGAAAATAATTCGGAACTCTTTCGTGGTTCGTAAACTTTTATTAAGAAAAAAAATGCGTAAGTAAAGTTAGAAATGACTTACATAAGGCAATTTTGTTATAATAACTTTCAATCTTTGTTGAGTTATAAGGCCACCAGCACATACACATATAAAGATTTATAATACAAAATATACACCTGTGGATGTTACAATAAGATTATCTTTATTTAGATTTTGCTATTACATATTCATGCCAGGCTTGTTACTGCAAAGTGTGATACATTCTGATTAAATTTATTAGAATGAACAGCAAGTTATAGATGAAGATATTCTAACAAATACCCTTATAAAAATTTGGCTGGTCTGACTCGTTTAGTTGTGGTTCTCACTTTCATGTATAGCTGGTTAAAGGGTTAAATGTCAACTTGCACCAAAAGTAATACACTGAACAAATGAAGATAATTGAGCCGTGTCATGACAAAACCAACATAATGGGTTTGCGACCAGCATGGATCTAGACCAGCCTGAGCATCCGCGCAGTCTGATCAGGATCCATGCTGTTCACTATCAGTTTCTCTACTTGCTATAGGGTTTGTAAGCGAACAGCATGGATCCTGATCAGACTGCGTGGATGCGCAGGCTGGTCTGGATCCATGCTGGTCGCAAACACATTATGTTGGTTTTGTCATGACGCGGCTCATATATTTTATTGTACAGGAAGCGGCAGCCCACATGAATCTTGGAGCTATGTATCATCTGAATGGGAAACTAAAGGAGGCAGAAACCAGCTACCTGAAAGCCTTGCAGTTAAAGCCAGACGATCAAATGACAAAAGATAATCTAGCAAAACTTCGCAGTCTAATACAGAGTAGAACTAAAAAATCTTGATTAGTGAAGAAACTCAGAAGAGCTACAGATTCTAGTGACAGGGCATCGATTGGGCAAAACATAGATTATGCCATTTTGATAGTTAAAGCTCAACTATATTTGTTCATGATTTGCTCAGGGCAACAGTAATAAAAACAACAACTTTGAATTTCTTACCAGGGGCTGTGGGGTAAGGTTTTAAACCTATAAATAAAGGCACACAGTGATCTCTTTAATTGAAGCCAGGAGCATCTTTGAGATAATGAGAGGTATTAACTTGTGATGATGAAGATTGATAATGAATATGGAGAAGAGAGGATTGTGGGATTATTATAATAACTTTCACCTTCTTTTACTTAGTGCATCTAGAATAGATGTTATCAGGAACGCGACAAATGTGGGTTTTTCCCAGCTAATCAGTAGGTACAAACAAACTTTTACTGTTATAGCTTCACAGTGCACTACCCATCACAATAGATTAGTCAATCTGTTGCGCTTATTTTTGAAGGTGTAACTGTAAAAGTTTGTTTGTACCTACGGATAAGCTGGGGAAAACCCAATTATTCTTAATTCTGGAGGAGTTAGTCTATTGTCGTTGATTAGTTCTTTGTACTATCATTCTAACACTTTATTCATAAACACCATATGATGTCAGGTGTGACTGCAATAAACGAAATGATGTCATAAAAAATACTTCTCTGCTCAATGTTGTTTAACATATAATTATCAGTTATAGTGAGAATAGAAATGGGCCGTGTCACGACAAAACCAACATAGTGTGTTTGCAACCAGTATTGATCCAGACCAGCCTGCGCATCCGTGCAGTCTGATCAGGATCCATGGGAATGCGTAGGCTGGTCTGGATCCATGCTGGTCTCAAACCCATTATGTTGGTTTTGTTGTGACGCGGCTCAAATGTATATCAGTTATTCTTGTTCTTACTGAACAAATTATTTATAAACAGTTTAATATAAATGTAAATAATAGTTCATATTTTGATGGCAATTGAAAAGAAAAAACAATTAAAAAGTGTTTACTTTTAATGACATTAAAGCAGAAAGAGGTTACTCACAAGATAACAATTCCTGATTTCAGAAATGATGGATTTTTAAAAACATAATTAAGGCAGGAACAAGGCCTATAAGTCTTCTTTTTTGATTTGTAGAAAAGATGAAAAAATAAATTCAACCTAATCTACATTCATGGCCTTAAACAGAAATATTTACATGATTTTCATTGAGTTTATAATGCCATAACATTAACAGTTCTGGTCTTAACAAGTGTTTTTCTGGTAATGTATTTTCATTAGTATTTGGCTTGAGAAGGCCTAAATTAAAAAAAAATCTGGCCATCTTTTTCTCATTTACTGTGTTGAGCATCATTCAATTAACCATATATTCATTTAACATGTATGTCTATTTTGACTGATGCACTTAAATTAAAAGGAGGTCATTAACTAAGTTGCACGCTATTCAGAAATAATTAAACACTAAAAACAACTAGCCTGTTGATTGTCTCTAAGATGTTAAAATTGTTTAATTTTTGCTTATTAGCTTTTAATTATTACATAATGCTCAAATTTATTTAAATTTAGTTGCTGTTTCTCTTTTTTGTTGATATTGTTAGAAATCATTTACAATATTTTGTATTATAATTTACAAAATGAAATTTTGTGTACAAAATTATTGTTTTCTGTTTACTAATGAGAGTTGTATAATATAATCTCTGTAGTGTGACATCCTGTGGGTGACAAATATTTAGTTGTTCATGAGAGGTGTTGTTCTAGACAGGTTTAATTTATTGTGAATGTTTACTTTAATAAGAAATTTTACTGTTGTTGTAAGGAGGTAATGGATCTGAAGAGGGCCACTATGCAGGGGTTATACTGTAGCCAATGAATGAATTTAATTAGCACCTCTGTTTGTCAAATGATTAAATTTCTTAACTATTTCACTTACTTCAGCCAGTGTGGGTTTAAATGTCACTATGTGTGTTAGATAATTTAAAACAAGGAAGCCATCTAGCTAGCTAGAAGATGAGTTGAAGATTGTTTTAGATTTTACCGAGGTGTCTACTTGTTCCTGTACTATGTATAGATGGGAACCAGTGGTCTACCTCCTCCAGAAAACAATCAATTGCCATATCACTTTAACTATGAGAGTTGAAAAAAACAAATCTAAATAAAAAGAACAAATATTCCATACGGACAATTGCAAAAGCAAATGATTATGTGTGGAACTAGATGGTTGTTATTTTAACAAATGTCACTATATTTTACATGCATTTACATTATTCTACTTTATGATATTTTCTACAAATTTTACAATTGTTGTTTAATTAGCAGTTATTATTATTGTTATTACTTTACAAGTAAATGAATATTCAATGTTAAAGGGAGACACAGGCAAAATTTTCATTTCTTAGTTTTGAAATTTTCATTCATTATTCTGTAAATGTCCTCAAAATGAATACACTAAACAGTCAAAGGAACAAAACTTTTCTCCATATAAAGAATAAAATGGTGTTTTCCTAACGTGACCCCCGTGGGTCAGGTTAGAGCGCTAAAATTTCACAATAGTTGTCACTCTGTACTCTGGAAACGTTAAAAAACATGTCAAATCAATTACTTAGACTTGTTTCAATCATACAATATCCACAATATTTGTTATTGTAACTTCCAGGGTTTGTTCAAATCGCATGACTTGTTTTTAAACTATTCGGTGATTCTGTTCGCGTCAAAATTTCGTTCAACATATATTGATATATTTAAACTTCAAACCCAAAATATATAAAATGTATATAGAAATTCATGTTGGGACTTTAAGAAATGTCATTTTAGGGTGATTTGAGTACAGAAAATCATTTTTATATTTTTGCCATTATTTTGCCTGAGTATCCCTTTAAGTTATTCTGAAGCAATTTTATAACATTCCATTTTTACCAAAGCTTTACAAACTTTTCTGATTATTATTTTATTTTTTTATTTATGCATTAAGAGTGAAGGTTGCACATGGACCAGATATCCAAGTCTTGTTTTTGATGCAATAAGTGTTAATTAACTTATATAGTTATTTGTTTTTGATTTATGAATTATTTTGAAAATATCATTGGAGAATTTTACACCTGAACAAAAATATAATTACTAATAAGTTAATTATGTATATGTTCTTTGAATGGATAAAAGTATTTCCAGTTGAATACTTTACGCGTACCAGTGACATAAGGCATTAATGAATTAGTTATGAATATTTTTGACAGGTTATATAGTACAGTGTTAAGCTTTTCTAATATGAGCTGGTAGGTGAGGGTTATCTTGTAAACTGTTGTTGATAAACATGTACTTTTACTTATATTGGTTGCCGATGGGATATGAGGGTTACTTTTATAGGTTGCTGATTGGATATGAGGGTAACTTATATTGGTTGCCAATGGGATAGATGGTTACTTTTATATGTTGCTGAGGGTATATGATGGTTACTTATATTGGTTGCTGTTGGGATATGAGGGTTACTTTTATAGGTTGCCAATTGGATATGAGGGTAACTGATATTGGTTGCAAATGGGATAGATAGTTACTTATATAGGTTGTGGAGAGTATATGAGGGTTACATATATAGGTTGCTGAGAGGATATGATGGTTACTTATATAGGTTGTGGAGGGTATATGAGGGTTACATATATAGGTTGCTGAGGGTATATGATGGTTACTTATATAGGTTGTGGAGGGTATATGAGGGTTACATATATAGGTTGCTGAGGGTATATGAGGGTTACTTATATAGGTTGCCGACGGGATATGATGGTTATTATATAGTTCACCAAGGGGGTAGATGGTTAGTTATATACATTGTAGGTTGCCAAGGGGATATGAGGATTATTATATAGGTTGCGGACAGGATATGAGCTAGTGTTACTTATAGTATTAGTTATAAAGATTTTTGACAGGTTATATGGCCCTATATAAATGGTTATTTGGAAATATCACTCAAGTCAATGAATACGTAGATCTCAGAAAGCTGTAGTCTCCCTTATATTTCATCAGCAACCAACATAACTTATTTATAATATTGCAAATTCTATATTGCAAATTCTTTTCATTTACGTATTAAAACCAAAATAAAAGAGGATATGAAAAATGAATAGATAATAACTATTTCTTTTCTTTATACCCCAAAGGATGCCTCAGTAAGTATTGTATTGTTTATTGTATCGTTTGCATGGTAAATCACATAATTTTTAACATAATGATTTATGAAGCTATTTTAAGATGTTTAAAGAGATTTGTTAAGTTGTCAAATTTGGATGGCATTCTAATGTTTTGATTTTACACTGCAAGGCAGCCTGCACAATAATTTATCAGTTGATTAATTAATATACAACATTCTTCTTTTTATAGAAAGGTTTATTTTGTTTTGTTTATTTATCCTTATATGCAAATGGTGTCAAATTGAATCAATTTGCATTTAAGAATTCCAAGAAAGTATTTATGTAAATGACTATTTCAATACCTTGTTAAAAATTATAATACATCAACAGTTAGTAAAAACAATTTTATTTGTAAATAACAATTGTTTAAGATATGAACCCCCCCCCTTTTTTGAAGCCTCAAACAGTGCAAAAATGCCCTATTTAGACTCCAAACACTGTTTTTCATTTGAGAACTTTTGTTAAAAAAAGTGACCACTTTTTCGGCGCCGTCACCCATCCAAATATTACATTAGGGGGGTGCCAGAAGGGGATGTGCCCCTTTCTGTTTGGGGGGTTTGAAGGGGGCGGAGTCCCCCTCATCGCCAAGAAAATTTTGGACATGTGACAGGCTAAAAATGGCCTCAGGTCGATCTTAGGGTAACAAGTAACCTACGCTGAAAAGCCTTTTACTGTATCTCAATTTATTGAGAAGTTGCAGCACTTTGAAATCAGATTTGATGGAAAAAAACAATGCAAAATAGTGATTTTTGGCAATTTTGAGACGTCCCCCCGTTGCCATGGTAACAGGAAATTTACCATTGAGCATGCTGTTACAGAGGCTATGGTGCAGTCAACATTTGTGCCAAGTTTCATTAGTATTGAAGCATTTTTCACAGTTTCATAGCAGTTTGAACTTGTTACAGGAGGCTTTTCAATGAAAACGGCCATTTTTAGCAATATGCTTTTGGGGTAAAAGGTTAAATAACTAAGGAAAAGAGTGGTAAATATAAAAGATTGATATATAAATAATCAAGTTGAGGTACCTTGCTATTTTGTTGCAAAGTAACTATACTTCTCAAATTTCTATGGAGGCAGGTCTGGTGCTGTAATTTTTTTTTTTTTGGGGGGGGGGGGGGGGGTGTAAAATCTTCGACTTAATATGTTTCCTTGATATTATATACAGGAAAAATGATACAAGTGGCACAAACAATCAACACAGGATAAATTTTAAGGTTGATTTAATGATATTGTACACAAGAATATAATAAAGAGTATTAGTTATAAATTAGTCAAAATTATAGAGGCTCAAAGGGTAGACTGGGTACGCTCACCTGTGTTGTTTTGCCACTTTAAAAATAAAGTCTATATCATTATAATTATTATTATAAAATTCAAGAAAGGTATTTGCAATACTATAAACAACTGTAACTTCATTAAAACAAATTATATATGCTGCACAATTTCTGTATTTGAGAAAATAAAAAGTAATTGATAAAATTCAGCAACCGCATATTATCGTCATGGTTCCAAGAAAGTCAATGTTATAAACATGCAGTATTACAATTCATCCTTCAAATTAACATTACATAGACTGTCATGCAGTCAAGTTACATTTTAGCATAATTTGACATTTTGTGCTCAAAATATGGGAAAGTGATGCAGTAAATGACCTAAAAATTTAAGATTAAACTTTTCTTTGCATGTATCCCATTAACTTAAGTCTTGTTGTTAAAATTGATTATTATGTGAATATAGTATTATATTTGTTTGTCTTTTTACTATACTGTGAAGCAATATGATGTTATCTATCAGTTGTTAATCTGTACATGAGTGGTATATACATGTTTTCATTTACCTTGTACAGTTTCAATTGCAATCATTTTTTATAAAAGTTAAGCAATAACTTTTTTTTCTCAACACCATTTCTTATCTTTATGTATATGCTCATTTAAGTAGTGAAGAACTTAGGTTGGAAATTTATTTCGGACAAACATTGGGTTGGCAAAAAAAACAACCCATTAGTTTTCAGTACAAGGGAGACAACTGTCAGCTTACTAAAGTGTCATCTTTGCAAGACATTCCTCCCTTCTATGATCGAATATTGTTATATTGATTCATCATTTTCATTTTATAAACTCACTGTGAGCATGTGAGTAGTTTAGCTCCTGCCATTAGATCTATTTTGGATACTTAATTGTGGTGTTTTGTGGAATTTTCCCCCTCATAGATGATTGTGCATTTGGAGGAAAAAAAAATGAACCCCATGTGAGTTGTGAGTCCTATATAACATTTAAAAGACTTTGCTATAAAAAAGTAATGTAGGAAAATTTATTATTGTTAGCTGTCCGGTATGCTTAATAGGTAGGGTTGGACTGTGATTCAAGTCCGGCTCTTTAAGTTGTCAATTATCATGAATTTCTTTCTACAGTCATTCACACTGTACCTCTGCTTTGTGCCGGTTTCCAGCATGCGCAGGAATAATGTGGTGTCTAATAATTACGTGTTCAGGTAAAGTCAATGTGGTTTATACTGTTGTGATCCAGAGTGAAAACTACCAACACCACCATTTGATATTATCAAATGAAGCAGTGACTAAACTACCACCATTTTGTTCAAAATGTACTCATTGTTTGCTTTGATAATCTTTCTGACTCAAGTTCTTCACTGCTTACCTGTTTTAAATATGTGCTTTAAAGTAGTATTCCATATTTACTGAGAATAAAGTATAATAGTATGTGAAAAGGTAACTTCTTTAAGTTTTTTTTTTTTTTTTTTTTTTTTTTTTTTTGGCTTTACAGAATTTTTTCCTAACTATCCTGTAGTCCTAGCATTGGTGTGTTTGTCTATATTTCATGATAGAGACTTTGTTGAAGTGAAACAAAACTGTTTCTGGGCTGCAAAATTCGTGGATGATGACAATAACCACCTCAGAAATAACACAGATTGAAAGCAGTTTTACCATAATGTATTACAAATGAATTTATAAGACACTTGTATCATAGTTAAGAGACCTTTCTGTTGAAAAAATGTTTCAGAGTTAAATTGTATACCCATACTTGCACAGTGCATTAACAGTAGTGCAGGTATTAGTTACCCGCCAATATGCATGTCCATTGTCCGCAGTGTGTTTTAATACTTTGAGCTCTTAATCGAAGTTTGACAGTAAGATCCAAGAAGTTGAAATTGTCGTGACCCACATTGAACATTACATACAAACTCCATAACCATTGCTCCTATAAATGTGTGAGCATTTTATCCGCTTTTTTTCTCTGCCATAATTGATTTACATTGATTGTGGTCAAAAATTATTCCTGCATGTGATTCAAACCCCCGGCCCCCCACACCTATGTTCTCCATGGAAGTTGGATATATATAAAGTAGGAATAACTTTTGGGGCATAAATGGCATATATACTAGGACGAAAAAGAAACGCCGGGTACATAAAATATGCAACACATATTTTATTGCTTGGCCTAATATAATGCCCGGCCCCATGTCGCCAGAGTTTGCCAGCAATTTCTTGCCAACAGTAACATACACCCACTCGATTGGCCAGCATTCAGTCCAGATTTGTCCCCAATTGAACATTTGTGGGACGAACTGG